TTACGAGTCATGGACGAGGGACGATGTTTTCTGATAGTTGTAGTGGTGGTGGTGGTGGTCATGTTGAAAAATGGGCGGCTATGAAAATTCAAGCAACGTTTCGTGGATATTTGGTAAGAATGAACAATTTTTATTTTTTTTAATAAAATCAATTCATAAATAAATGGTCGCGCTAGTAACAATGAATATTATACATTGTATTAGTTGATTAGCTCAATCAAAAAGTTTGAATTTACCCCGTATTTGTGAGTATGAACTCTAATTCATATTTAGTTTTTTTTTTTTTTTAAGAATTTTTATATTATGCATTTGGTGGTTTCTAAACATATTATAAAATTAACTAGTTCTATGCCTTTTATGAGATTTTGAATTAGAAATTTTTTTTATTCATTTTGTCTTATTTTCTAGTAAGAGTTAGTTGATAGCACAATCAATATTTCCTCTTAATAATTAATAAAAAAAGTACAAGTATAGAATTCAAATGTACACTAGTATCGTAAATTATTTTATCATTTTATGCATTCAAAACCATACCTTCTTAATTTAGTTATATGTTCAAATTTTCAATGTATTGTTCTCATGACTAGCATATACACATGTAATTGCATGAGCATATTGGATGAAAATAATTGTTGTACTAAAAACTTGTTCTATTTCTTAATTCCAAGTTTCATCTAGTGGCGAAATTTATATTAGGTTGTTTTTATAATTATGAATTTATTTATATATATATGATTCGTCTTTTTAAATTAATTATGTTTGTGTGTCTAATTTCTTTAACTGTATTGTGATTTGAAAAGGCGAGAAAAGCACTTAGAGCATTGAAAGGGCTAGTAAAGATCCAAGCATTAGTAAGAGGATATTTGGTAAGAAAACAGGCCACGGCAACTCTTCATGGTATGCAAGCACTCATAAGGGCTCAAGCTACCGTAAAGTCCAAACGGGCTCAAGGCCGGTATCCGAATCACGAAATTTCCGGTCTTTCTCAACCCGATTTTAGAGCCCGAAGATCTTTGGTAATTCATCTCACCCAACTCATATCGGTTAAGAAATTTTATTTTTGTCTATTATGTTTTTGAAAATTTATAGAAAAAATTCGTCTTTAGATTATGAATCATTTATTAGTTATTATAATATAAATAATTATAGGCTCGTTTTGAGTCCGGACTCACTAGGGATAAAGTTGTCTACGTTTGTAAATATTTTGCAATTGGTGAGAATCCACTCTAAGTTAATTATAGTCCATATAAATTTTGGACCATTTGAAGTCATATTTAAATTAGTGTACTTTTCATTTTAGTACAATGTGTCATTTAGGCATTTATGTATCACATTTAATTGGCCACCAATTTATTAGTTAATTGGAAATTACTTTGGACTGTTACTCTGTTAGACAATGTTGATATTGTATAGGTCTAAAAAGATTTAGGTAGGTGAATTTTTTAGTGTATGATTTGGCAATGAGTTCAATTTTGAATATCATCAATTCTTTTATTTGTTAATTAGATGGTAACTTTTTGTGTATGTGATTTGAAGGAAATATATGATGACACAAGAAGTGAGCATGCATCATCAATACACAGCAGGAGGCTATCCGCATCCTTTGAGAGCAGGACCATGAACCCCATATCCGAAGACATACCCAAGATAGTCGAGGTGGATACGGGCCGACCCAGATCATCATCGTCGAGAGGGTGGAGATCAAGTAACAGCCCCGGGCCTAGGCCCGAACCCGGTGATCTCGACCCGTTCTACCCGCCCCGGATATCGATCCCGTGCTGCCAGCATTGGCACGACACCGATTGGGGCCTAACGGGGGACGAGTGCCGGTTCTCAACGGCCCAGAGCACGCCCCGGTTCATGAACACGGGCGGGCCAAACCCGGGCCCGGTGACCCCGTCGAAAAGTGTATGTGGGGATAACAATAGTTACTTCTTACGGCACTACGGAAATTACCATAATAACCCTAATTACATGGCAAATACTCAGTCATTTAGGGCAAAGGTGAGGTCCCAAAGTGCCCCAAAGCAGAGGCCAGAGGCAGGGTACCCTAAGAAGAAAGTGTCCTTAAATGAGATGCTGGAGTCTAGAAATAGTCTAAGTGGTGTAAAAATGCAAAGGTCATGTTCCCAAGTACAAGATGCCATTAATTTTAAGAATGCTGTTATGGGTAAACTTGGGAGGTCTTATGACTTAGCTAGAGAGGCTGAGGTATACCACTTGCAAAGGGAATAAAAAAATAAAATTAATTTCATAAAATTTTATTATAATGTAGAAGTATGTACCAATTTAATTTGGTGCAATTTTATTGTTATTATCTTTGATAACACAAGAAAATGTAAATTGGTTTGTTGGGTATGGGTTTGTGTTTGTCATCATTATAAATTTATAATAATAATAATCTACAATACCTTATTGTTACTTCAACCATGTGTGAACTTTGAATTTTGCATCACTTGGCACCTATTTGTTTAGTCATATTGAGATGATTTTGTAGTTTAGTAAATTGCAGGTCCACATTGTGTGATGCCACCCACATGTCTAGTGTGAAATTTGAATGTATTTGAAAACATGAAAAGAAAGGAATAAATTCAATTAAAATGTTGAGTTTTGATCTAAGTGTGTTTGAATGTGTAGCAAAGTATAATAGATTAGATGTCAATTTAGAAGAAGAAAAAGTGGTGGATGTCAAGATTTCTAATAAGGAAATATTATCAATTGTAAGTAATGGGTATCGCAAAATTGGGATTAAAATGCATTTGCAATTTAACTGAATTACAAAACGGATAAAATTTTACAATATTCATAGATTGTTTTTGTAGATCATAATGGTTATAGGTTACGTTTTAAGTTAGTGTCTCTCCCCTTATAATAGAAATTGTGTCCATGTATTATTGAAAATATTAATATAAAACTTTACAATTCTACGTCAATGTAAAAGGTGAACTTATTAGCGTATATACAAAGAAGAAAATTATGCGAAAATATATGGAACGAAAAATCATACACTCTTTCGTTTTAGCTACCAATGCTACCATGGTCACTTGATAACTTTCAATAATATGTATCACTTGCTTGACATTCAATTACAAATTACTTTTTTTTTTTTTTGACATTTAAATTACATAGGAGAATATTTTGTTGGTAAATTTGAAAACTTGAATGGAATAAGACCAATTTTGAAACAACATGTGTTCCATAACCTATATTGCTTTCATTTTGTGGCATTTTGTGATGAGATATATAATTAATGGCTTCGAGAACACAAAAATGACAAAATATGAATTGTGATTCAAATAATTTGGACTCTTCATTGTCAATTTCAGGAATATATCCCATTGCATTCTATACATTTTTGAAATATGGGACCAAATTTGTTTGTTTGATTGTACAATAAACAAATGAATCTCACTCTTTTGCACAAACCTTTGGTTTCTAGTTTCTACCCCCTTAAACCCTTAATGCATTATGTCTTATTATGCTAATAGAGTTAGTAATTGTAATAAAAACATATTGTCTTTTACAACCTACTGGGCAGTATTTAGATATTCAATTTCTTCTATCTTTCATGAAATGCATAGCGCCCAATAAAAGCTATGTGTCCAATTTCTTCAAACAATTTTAGCAAATTAAGTTTTCATATAATGAATTATTTCATGTTGTCATGGGCATAAGAAATAGTGCCTCGGCCAATGCGTACTAGGCCCAAACAAGGTGTTAGGTTTGTGTGTGTGCCTCTCTTACACTCGTTATATATAGCACATACTTAATGTTCCTCTATAGAAAATGACGAACATGAACAAACTTCGTTCAATTCAAGAAACCCTAAACTTCTATACTTTTTGGAACATTTTTTATTATACTTTCTCATATATACTTATCGAACAATAAAGGAACAATGGTAAAACTAACCAACCACAAACCAATATCAACTTTTTTCAAACATCCCAATATAAAATTCATGACTATTAGTTTGATACAAATATGTAGTGAGATTTCAAGTATTCACATATCTATGGTTAATTAGTTGTCAATCTTGTCATTTAGATTGTTGAGGCCCTGTTCACTTCACCTTTTTTTTGCTGAACTGAAATTATTTTTACTGAATTGAAATTATTTTTACTGAACTTAAATTATTTTTGTTGAATTGAAATTAATTTTACTGAACTGAAATTATTTTTGCTAAACTGAAATTATTTTTACTGATTCTCTATTATAGTTCTTCTTTAAAATTACTGATTTTTACTGAACTGAAATTATTTTTACTGAAATGAACTTATTTTTACTGAATATCATTATTTAAGGTGTAGTGAACAGAGCCTGAGTTACATGTGTTTTTAGGCAATTTTTACTGGTTCTTATTATGGATTTCCTATTAGTACTACTTACTTAGTTATCAATTATGGAGTAGTTAGTTACTATTGAACTAATGATTAGCAATTAGTAAGATAAAGTTAATTGTACAAGAAATAATTAAGGATAATATAGGAAGAAAAATCCCTAACTTCTCTAATCATTCACAAATCACAACCCAAAAGTGTTATTCTGTACATAATTAAGCAAGGATTTGCTTCTTCCCCCAAGTAAAGACATGTCTTATAATGATTAGTTCTTGATTTGACGGACAAGTTATTAAACTAATAAAATAATAATATAAACCAAGATTCTATGCATCATATTTTCGTCACTTTAATAATAAAACCACACTTTGCCGCTGAATATTTCGTAAAATGTGACCTTTATTTGTCCAACGACCGTAGACCGGATTTTGGCCCCTCCCAAGTCACACATAGAGATGTCACTGGGGCGGGTCTAGTAGGAGACCCGCCCCATCCCCGCCCCGATGGGGCGGAGATGGGTCTAGCTTTGGCGGGTCGCGGGGCGAGGATGGGTCTAAAATCCATACCCGCCATGGGTGATGGGGCGGGGATGGTTGTTATGTAATACCCGCCCCGCCCAGACCCGCCCCATACCCGCCCCGCCCCGCCCCGCCTGACCCACCCCGTTCCCGCCCCGCCCCGCCTGACCCACTCCATACCCGACCCATACCCGCTTTATACCCACCCCATACCCGCATAAGACCCGACTAGCCATAGCATAATACGATTAAAAAAAAAAAATTACTACACCTAATGAAATCTAACCCAGTAACCCACTTACCCAATACCCACCCTCATTCAGTCATTCACTCATTCTCAAAACAAAAACCCTAGCCTCACTGCCTCACTCTCTCCTCTCACAGTCTCACTGCGCTGAATCTCTTCCTCAAGCCTCAAACCCCTCTCTTCGATCCTTCTTCTTCAACCTCGTGGTCCTCGTCTGCAATCAAATCTCTTCGATCCTTCTTCTTCAACCTCGATCTTGCAAGGCTGCAACTCATTCAATTTAGGTAAACGTTTTCGCATTATTATCTTTGAATTTTCTTAATTCAATATGTTCAATTAAGAATTTCTTAATTGGGTTTTCGATTGAAAGTATGTGATTCGTCTTTTATTTATGATTTGTTCGATTGCGGTTTTCAATATTTCATTTGATTGAGCTAGGGTTTCGTGTTATATTTGTATGATACTTTCAATCTAATGCAATGTAGTTGATTACTGTTATTTTTTGTATGATAATGTATGAATATGATGACCTCCAAATTTTTTAGTTTATTAGGGTTTTAATCTAGAATTTTCATTACTTGTTTTTTTATATTTAATTTCACAAAATAGATATAATAAAGTCGAAATATGTATAGATTGTAATTAGTTTTTCTCATTAATTTCAGACTTATAAGTTTATGTTTATTATTTTAGCTTATGTGTGATAACTAAATTCGGATTATGTCATTTGACCACTTATTCGATCATTATAGATTTAGTTACTTTTTTTTTTATTTAATTCATTTACTAAGATCAATCTCTGTAGTACACACTAACTTAACACACTTTGTATATAATTAAGTGGGGATGAATTTTGATTGTATTGTAGTTCAAAATATATATACTGATTTTTTACTAAATTTGAATTGAAAATGACTGGCTATTAGCCTATGAATGATGCATGGTGTGTGTGAGCGTTTGTGTTTGTATCTATGTGGCTCAGTGGCTATAAATTTGTGTTGTAGCATAAAAATTGGGGGAAGTTGGAGCAATTTCTATTGAGAATTGTTAAATAACCCAGGTAAGAATTTTCTTCAAATTTTGTTGTATTCTTTGTTATTGAGATTGTATAAAAGCGTGAGAAATGAATTTCAAACTATTATCATAGTATCATACTATTGTTGTTATACTGTAATTTAAGTAGTACTCAATATTGATGAAATTGATCACAATGTATGCAAATTGAGTTGGGGTAATGAAAATGTGGATGGATAATCTGGTGCTGATTTTGGTGGTTAAGAAAGTGGGTGTGTATAGATAGAGTGGAAGAACAGGTTGGATCTTTAATGTCGTAAGCTGACAGCTTTTAAGAATGAAGACTTTGAGACACCAAATTGTACAACTACTGTACTATTGATAAGCCTTCTTATCATGGGTTGAGAGAAGCATTTTAGGGTGTGTTTTGATGCTTTATATGTACTTTTGTTAGCTTTTGTGAGTTTTGGGCTGTGATCTCACTTATGTGCAAAAGGCGGGATTTATGAGTATAAGTGAGTGAGTGAGCTCGGGAACCAATGAAGAGTTATGTAAGAAGGATGGACCTTGGCTCGTGATTTGAGAGTTGTGATGGAGCATGGAAGAGCAAGGAAGAAAGCTTGAGGAAAAGGTGAAGCAAAGCAAGAAGAAGAAGCAAGGAAAGAAGGCAAAAACAGCAGGAACCGCTGCCAGGGCCGCTGGCAGCTGGCCAGAGCCGCTGGCAGCGGGTATACCAGAGTGAGGGGCTGCCAGAGCAGCTGCCAGCGGGTCCAGAGCAGCTGGCAGCGGCTCTGGCAGAAATTCGGGCTGTTTTGGTTAATTTTCAGCAATTTGGCTTTGTTTTGGCTCGTGTTTTGGATATTATTTTATTATTATTATTGTGTTATGTTATTAAAATATAGAAACATATAAATAGCTTAGTTTTAATTAAGTGTTAAGAAAAAAAAGGAGAATTAAGTTTTGAGAAAAAAAAAAGCTTTCTAGGGTTTTCTTGGAATTTTCAGAATTCTTTGTTTTGGAATTAGAATCCATGGAAGCTTAATCTTCCGGATTCTTGGTTAAAGATTGAAGCTTTTAGCTACGAATTGTGAGATCTTTCTTCTCTTAATATCTATTGAATATATATTGTTCCTTGAATTAATTTCATGATTTGCTTTAATCAATTGCTAGGTTAGAATTATTGGATTCGCTTGCATCTAATTAATCTTTCCAAAGTAGCAACTTTAGGTTATTGATGCATGCTTTTGGTTGATAACTTGAAGAGGGAATAATATTATTGAAGAAATTAGACCGCTTGTGTTAATTTATTCAATCCTTGTTGATTTCTTCGTTTATTTTCTTCTTGTGGATAATTTAGAGCGCTTGTCTTGAATTGTGCATTGGAAAGGGTTAGAAAGGAGCGCTTTGCTATTTCTAACTATTTATGAGAATTTAGAATCTAGGAATTCTACAACAAGGTGTTCAATAGAGCTTGATTGAGGAGACTTCTATGATCAATTTGTATGTTCATTAGTGGATTTCGCATAACCAAGACCGTTCTTCTCATTGATTACCTATTCATTACGTTCGTTGTTCTTACTTAGTTCATTTATCATCATTGCTCGTGAAAACCCCCCTCGTTACTTAGGTTACTACCGTCCTAGAGTATTTCCACTTAGGTTTCCAGTTATTAGTCCCTTTTTCCCTGTGGATTCGAACTCGACTTCCCTAACTACGTTTATTTGCAGTTAGCTTAGTTGTGATATTTTTGGTTGCATACGACTGAGGCACACCAAATTTTGGCGCCGTTGCCAGGGAATTAAGGCGTTACTTTTTAATTGTTTATCTTAGTAGAATTTATTTTAGGACTGTTCTTAGCTATCTTTCTTTGTTTGTTCGCTAGGGTATGATAAGTACCCGTTCTGCTAACAAAGAAGTTTTGCAGTTTGATCCAGAAATTGAAAGGAATATTTCCAGGTTGCGAAAAGAGGCAAGAACAACCCCCAGTGAATCAACATACTCCTTCAATATTCAAGAAGAAGAGGAGATGGCTGACAATCGAACTCTAAGGGAACTCACAGCTCCCAACTTGAACCAACAACCGTTGTGCATTGCATACCAGCAGTTGGAGGAAGGTACTAATGTTGAGATCAAATCCGGTCTTATTCATCTATTGCCGGCATTCCATGGCATGAAAGGCGAAGATCCGAATAAACATCTGGCAGAATTTCATGTGGTTTGCACTAGCATGAAACCGATTGGGATGACTGATGAACAAATTCAGTTGAGAGCATTTCCTTTTTCTCTCAAAGATGCAGCAAAGGATTGGTTTTACTATCTTCCCCCAGGTAGCATAACAACTTGGGCAGATTTAAAGAAGTGTTTCCTTGAGAAGTACTACCCAGCCACTATTTCTGCAAGCCTTAAGAAAGCTATCAGCAATGTGGATCAGAAGGAAGATGAATCCTTGTATGAGTATTGGGAGAGATTTAAGAGATTGTGTGCTAGTTGTCCTTACCATGGGTATTCCGATCAAGACCTCATCCTATACTTCTATGGAGGTCTAACTGATGATGACTTGAGGATGGTGAATGCAGCAAGTGGTGGAGGGCTAGTGAATAAGACTCCAGGAGATGCAACTAGGTTGATTGCAGAGCTAGCAGAAAATTCTAGGCAATTCAGTCAGAGAACTCCCACGCGCCGGGTGAATTTAGCAAATTCGAATACAACTAAGTTAGAGAGTCAAGTAGATGATTTGACTTCTATGATGCGTGAGTTCATGGTGAACTCAAGGAATCCACAGCAACTGAATGCTTGTGGTTTATGCACCTCCATGGGACATCCCACTGATGCATGTCCTCAATTACAAGAGGAGCAGAATGAGCAGGCCAACACCTTAGGTTTTCAAGGGCAAGGTCCGCAGAGAAGATATGATCCCTTTTCAAATACCTACAACCCAGGATGGAGAGATCATCCAAATTTGAGATATGGGAATTCCCAAGGAAACCAACAACATCAGCATGCTCAAGGTCAACAACAGTTTCAGCAATATAGGGCACCGTTCCTAACACCTCAAGGCCAAAGCTCTAATTCAGGTAATATGTCAACTGAAGAAATGATTAGATCACTAACTTCTAATGTTTCTACCATGCAGCAGAATATGATGCAGTTTCAACAAGAAACCAGATCAAGTATTCAAAACCTGGAGAATCAAGTCAGTCAAATCTCAAGTGCAGTAAGCCGACTTGAAGCTAAGGACTCTGGAAAGCTTCCATCCCAAACGGAGCTGAACCCTAAGCAACAAGTTAATGCAATAACATTGAGAAGTGGCAAAAAGTTGCAAGAAACTGTAGTTGCACCTAAGAAGGCTAAAGACTTGATTGGAGTTGAGGAGGAGGAAGTAGAACAAGAAACTAAGGCGAATCCGCCAACCTTTACCTCTTATGAGCCTGTGCCACCTTTCCCAGAAGCCTTGCAAGATACTCGAAGGTATGAGAAAGACAAGGATATTTATGAGACTTTCAGCAAATGTGAGGTAAATATGCCCCTCTTGAATGTGATTAAAAGTGTTCCTCGTTTTTCTAAGTTTATGAAGGAACTGTGTACGATCAAGAGAAAGCACAGGTTGGGAGGAAAAGAAAAAGTGAAGGTGAGTGCTCATGTTTCTGCAGTTTTCCAAAAGAAACTCCCAGAAAAATGTGGTGATCCTGGTATGTTTACTATTCCTGTTACAATAGGAGACACCACATTACACCGAGCCATGTTGGACCTAGGTGCATCAATCAATGTCATTCCCTACTCCCTGTTTAAATCTTTAGAACTTGGGCCTTTGCATGAAACTGGGGTAGTAATTCAGTTAGCTGATAGGTCCAATGTATATCCTAAGGGGGTAGTAGAAGATGTACTTGTTAAGGTTGATGGATTGATCTTTCCTGCTGACTTTTACGTCCTTGACATGGAACATGACAAACAAGCAGCCCCCATCCTGTTAGGAAGACCTTTCTTAAAGACTGCTAAGACAAAAATCGATGTGTCTACCGGTTCTTTGACTATGGAGGTTGATGGGAAAGCAATTGTGTATAACATTTATGATACCATAAAGTATCCTGTTGATACTCATTCTTTATATTCTATAAATGTTTTCGATCCAATATTGCATGATGTTTCTAACATTTATCATGGGGATGAGCTCCTCACACCTATTACTAATGTTGTGTCTGGTGATTGCTTGGATTCTTCTATACCTACTAATGTGCAGGTGAAGGTGGCGGAATTGAATGAACAGTCCAAGCTTCCACCTATACCACTAGGGGCAACACCCACCCCGTCATCATTTCCGGGCAAGAAATTATCCCAGGTATACCACAAAGCAAAGAATAAGGTGTGGCATGACAAGATGAGCTCCCGTTGGAAGGGTCCAATTCAAGTTGACAAGGTCTATCCGCATGGAGCGGTAGAAATTCGGAGTTTAGAGACCAACAACATGTTCAAAGTGAATGGAAAAAGGCTCAAACCATACTACGAAGGGTTCAAGGTCGAGAATTTGGAGAACATCGATCTCTACGAGCCATCAATTGATTAACGAAGTTTCATGAGTTGTGTCGAGCCAACGACGTAAAACAAAGGCGCTAATCGGGAGGCAACCCGAAAACTCTTCCCCGTTTTCATTTATTTTAGTTTTTATTGTTTTTGTTTTGATGTACCAAGTGCTTTTGGTGGATTTATGTAGGAGGATGCTTTGGGAGTACGTATTGTGAGCAAAAACAGAGCAAAACAGGTAAAAACAGGCTTTGGGAGGCAGCCCCTGCAGGAGCCGCTGGTAGCGGGCTGGCAGCTGCTCTGTAGCCGCTACCAGCGGCTCTCCAAGCAGCCAAAAAATCCCAAAGTTCTGCCCCAGCCGCTGCCAGCGGGTGTCCTTCAGAAAAAAAAAAAAAATATATTTTTTTTTGCAGCAGCCGCTGCCAGCGGGTCTTCCAGCAACATTCACCCTAAATTCCTTCTTAAGCCGCTGGCAGCGGGCCCCAAGCCGCTACCAGCGGCATTCCCTGCATACCTGAATTTTTGCCCTTTTAAACCCCTTTTTCTTCAATCCTACAATCCAATTCATTCTAGTCTTTATCCAAAACCCCAATTAATCACTTCCCTCTATCCCTTAGCAAGTATTCTTTATCCAAAACAACCCATTTGCCCCATTTTCAATCCAAAATTCAGAAATTTAAAAACCCCTCGTCTAACCTCTTTTCCCTCAATTTCAAGTCCAATTAAACCTTAACATTGTTTCAATTTCTAAATTCTAAACTTGAAATTTGAGGAATTGTGTGAACCTTGGTGTTTGGAGGTTTGGTGGGTTGCTCATTGTATTTTGAAAGAGGAGGTGAGATTTGTGCAATTCGTTCTTGTGCAATGGGAAGACATAACAAGTGAAGGCAACCTCTTCACCTACAAGGGTTGCAAGGGGGTAGACAACAAGGGGATACTTCAAGGGAGGGTGTATCACCCTCTTTTCCCCAAGCAAATGACTTCATGGGCATTCGTCTAACTACGAAAGAAAAGACTACATGGGTTCAACTTCAACAGCCCAAAAGAATGGTGCAATGCACAAAAGTCGTCGATTTGGAGGCATTGCAAGTGGTTGGTTTGGAGGAAGTGATGGAGCACGAGCGCACCTACTTATGTGAGGTATAGATGAATTCCTTTCCACTTTGACTAAGGGATGTCAAGAATTTCTTTCAATTTTAACAATAAGAACTATGTCATGCCTTATGCGGTAATTAGAAATGCGTTTGGTTGGAATAATCTTCCCATGGGCAACACTTGGGGTCCCCATAGTTCATTTTTCTTCTCGAGAGTTTTGAAATCCTTGATAATGTCGAATCTTCCAACTTCGGGAATCCTTCCCATTAAGGTGGTACTTATTTCTTCCCTTTCCCTTACTTTTGTTTTTATTGTTGTTGTTCTTGCATTGAGGACAATGTCTCATTCAAGTAGGGGGGGAAGCAATTCTTGCATATTTTTGAAATTTGTATAGTTATCCTAATTTAATGGTTTTGTATAGCTATTTCAATTATGTTTCAATGAAAAAAAAGAAAAAAAAAAACAAAGAAGAAAAATTGAAAAAAAAGAGAAAAGAAAAAGAAAAAGAAGCCCTCTAAGTCGAAAACCTGAAAAGGCGGCTTAGGCAAAAATGGGGGCCCGGTTAGGTTGAAAACCCGAAAGGGCGACCTAAGCAAAAAAGTGGCTAATGAGCGGGTGAGGTAGTGAGATTTGGAAAAAGATGAGAGGCTAGGATGAAAACCCGAAAGGGCTCCTAGGCAAAATGAGAGAAAAAAGAGAGAAATGTTCATGAATTTGATTCTTCAAGGAAATTTCGCATCTATTTGCCGGAGTCGGTGTCATAAGGGGAGGAGATATAAGGAGGTGTCGGGGTAGGTTTCATCTTGGTGATTTTGGGAGATAGTTGAGATTTTGGGGGAATTTGTTGATCATCTTAGGAATTTGAGAGCATGAGTTGTTTGTTTTCACTCTTGAATGTGGAAGTGTTTTTATGAGATTTTTGGTTAAGTTGAGTTTTTGTTTGCCCAATTTTATCAAAAATTTCATTTCTTTAGGCGGTTGAGAATATTCATACTCATGGCTATGCGTTTATCGTTCCAAGTTGATTTTGGGGATGAATTGATAAATAAGAAAAAAGGGAGATTCAAAGTGTGAAGTATGGGGGAGTGTGATTGTGATTGGTTGATAAGTACTAGGATGTTTTGTTGAGTTTGAGTGCGTAGAGCTAGTTTGATTCCACCATCTTTTGTTTTGAACCTTAGTGAGGAGGATGTGTTTTATTCTCTAAGTTTACTCGAGGGCGAGTAAAGGTTCAAGCATGGGGGAATTTGATAAGCCTTCTTATCATGGGTTGAGAGAAGCATTTTAGGGTGTGTTTTGATGCTTTATATGTACTTTTGTTAGCTTTTGTGAGTTTTGGGCTGTGATCTCACTTATGTGCAAAAGGCGGGATTTATGAGTATAAGTGAGTGAGTGAGCTCGGGAACCAATGAAGAGTTATGTAAGAAGGATGGACCTTGGCTCGTGATTTGAGAGTTGTGATGGAGCATGGAAGAGCAAGGAAGAAAGCTTGAGGAAAAGGTGAAGCAAAGCAAGAAGAAGAAGCAAGGAAAGAAGGCAAAAACAGCAGGAACCGCTGCCAGGGCCGCTGGCAGCTGGCCAGAGCCGCTGGCAGCGGGTATACCAGAGTGAGGGGCTGCCAGAGCAGCTGCCAGCGGGTCCAGAGCAGCTGGCAGCGGCTCTGGCAGAAATTCGGGCTGTTTTGGTTAATTTTCAGCAATTTGGCTTTGTTTTGGCTCGTGTTTTGGATATTATTTTATTATTATTATTGTGTTATGTTATTAAAATATAGAAACATATAAATAGCTTAGTTTTAATTAAGTGTTAAGAAAAAAAAGGAGAATTAAGTTTTGAGAAAAAAAAAGCTTTCTAGGGTTTTCTTGGAATTTTCAGAATTCTTTGTTTTGGAATTAGAATCCATGGAAGCTTAATCTTCCGGATTCTTGGTTAAAGATTGAAGCTTTTAGCTACGAATTGTGAGATCTTTCTTCTCTTAATATCTATTGAATATATATTGTTCCTTGAATTAATTTCATGATTTGCTTTAATCAATTGCTAGGTTAGAATTATTGGATTCGCTTGCATCTAATTAATCTTTCCAAAGTAGCAACTTTAGGTTATTGATGCATGCTTTTGGTTGATAACTTGAAGAGGGAATAATATTATTGAAGAAATTAGACCGCTTGTGTTAATTTATTCAATCCTTGTTGATTTCTTCGTTTATTTTCTTCTTGTGGATAATTTAGAGCGCTTGTCTTGAATTGTGCATTGGAAAGGGTTAGAAAGGAGCGCTTTGCTATTTCTAACTATTTATGAGAATTTAGAATCTAGGAATTCTACAACAAGGTGTTCAATAGAGCTTGATTGAGGAGACTTCTATGATCAATTTGTATGTTCATTAGTGGATTTCGCATAACCAAGACCGTTCTTCTCATTGATTACCTATTCATTACGTTCGTTGTTCTTACTTAGTTCATTTATCATCATTGCTCGTGAAAACCCCCCTCGTTACTTAGGTTACTACCGTCCTAGAGTATTTCCACTTAGGTTTCCAGTTATTAGTCCCTTTTTCCCTGTGGATTCGAACTCGACTTCCCTAACTACGTTTATTTGCAGTTAGCTTAGTTGTGATATTTTTGGTTGCATACGACTGAGGCACACCAACTATATTTTGATGTCCTTGTGTTTGTGTTTGTTGTCTCCCTCTTTCTTACAAAATGAGAGTACTAAATTTGGTGATGCTGTTGCTGGCAGCCAGTATGTAGTGGTTAGTGACTTAGTGTGATAGGTGGTTAACTGGTTATGCAGCAGCAACAATATATTAACATAGCAGTTACAGTATGACATTATGCATTGATAGGCCTTTCAACATGATATCTTCCGATAGCTGTGCTAGAAGCATGATCTGCCTTTGCTGCTGTGCATTGCTAATTTGCTATTATTAATTTATTATTGCTGTTTCTGAGATGTCAAATGTGTTCAATACTGTAGTCAATATGTCTAGTGCATTAATTGTCTTTATTTAATTTTTACAGGGGAGAATGACATCTAAAAATGAGAATAACGCTAGTGTTCCCACTTCCGCTAGTAATACTCCAATTGCAATAGATGATGATGAAAGTCCTCTAGAGACTAATTCCGATCCTTCTCTCCTACCAATTACTAGTAGGCATACTTCGGCAGTGTGGTCTGATTTTAAGAGAAAGAGAGTTGGGGATGTGATAAAAGCTGAGTGCAACCATTGCTCCAAGCTACTTGCTGGTGGGTCAAAAGCAGGAACTACTCATTTGAAAGATCATATAAAAATATGTCCAAAGAGAGTATGTCAAGATCTTCGACAAACAAGAATGTTTGGTACAAAAAAAAACTTGAATGATAAGAATGACACGATGACATTGGCTCCTTACGAATTCCACCAAGAAGATGGAAGAAGAGACTTGGCAGAGATGATTATTTTGCATGAGTATCCAATTAGCATGGTTGAGCATATTGGTTTTAGAAAATATAGCAAGACACTCCAACCTGGATTTAAAGTGCCGTATTGCAACACAACTAGAAAAGATATTATGAAAAGATATGAGCTTGAGAAGGAGAATGTTGCAACCTTGTTGAGGAAAGCAAAGGGTAAGATTGCCTTAACTACTGACATGTGGACAGCTGACAACCAGAGAAAAGGTTATATGGCGGTCACCTCACATTTTATTGATAATACATGGAAGTTGCAAAGTCGGATCATAAGGTATTGTTTTCTGATTACTTATAACTTGTTTATTTTTTTTGGTTGTCTTTGTATTGCTATAGTTTTTTGTGTGAATTTTAAAATCATAAGAATTATAAGTTGTGATGATGGATGATAATAATGAGCCCATATATCCACAATAGTATTGAATAGACAAATAATATATGTTATTTTCATTGGTTTTGGTAGGTTTTTATATGTCCCCGCCCCTCATATTGCTGAGGTTCTTGCTGATGCTTTGAAAGAAAGCATTCAATCATGGAATCTTGATCTTAGGTTGTCTTCTATAACCGTGGATAATTGTTCAACTAATGATGCAATGATGGAAATTTTGAAAGGAGTGTTTCCATATGGCTCACTTTTATTGCGAGGTGATTTTTTTCATATGCGTTGTTGTGCTCACATATTAAATTTGATTGTTCAAGATGGTTTAAGTGCTGTGGTATCAAATGGTGTTCAAAGAATTAGGGATAGTGTTGTGTTTTGGACTGCTTCTGATAAGAGAGTACAAAGGTTTGAACAAGTGGCTAAGCAAATAACTCCTGAGTGTAGTAGAAAGTTAGCACTTGATTGCAAAACCCGGTGGAATTCTACTTATGAAATGCTTTCTATTGCTACTAGTTATAAAGAAGTGTTTGTTGTTTTAAGTGCTCGTAATAATTTATATAAGAATCCACCGACCCCTGAAGATTGGGAAAAAGTTGAGAAAATATGTGAACATTTGGAAGTGTTTAGTAAAACTACCCTTAATTTTTCAGGAACAAATTACCCTACGGCCAATCTTTATTTTCCTAAAATTTGTGCTTTGAGAATTGCTATTTCTGGTTGGCTTTTATCTCCTCATGATTATGTAAGGAAAATGGCCGACATTATGTTACAAAAATATAACAAGTATTGGGCTAGTGTGAATGGCTTAATGGGAGTGGCAACAATACTAGATCCTAGATACAAAATGGCTCTTATTCGCTTTTATTTTGCAAAAATTTTTGATGAGCATGACTTTGAAATTGAGGTTAGTAGAATTAGTGATCTTCTACGAAGATTGGTTGATGAATATGGGTCTAAGATGGGTAAAACTCAAGGTAGTAGCAACCAACAAGCTTTTGATTTGGGTAGTAGTAGCAAATCCAATGAAGAGACCTTTATGCAAGAATTTGCTGAATTTTTACAACAAGATAAGGACTCAAGTCATGATATATCAGATTTGGATAAGTATTTAGGTGCTGCTAATGTGCCTCTAGTCCAAGATTTTGATATTCTTATCTGGTGGAAGACAAATGGAGGCACATATCCCATTCTTCAGCAAATAGCACGAGATATATTGAGCATTCCTGTTTCTACTGTTGCATCAGAGTCCGCATTGAGCACAAGTGGTCGGGTTCTTAATCCTTATCGTAGTCGGCTTTTACCGGAAGCTGTAGAAGCTTTGATGTGTACTCAAAATTGGATATGGGCTGCTTCTAAAAGTAAATAGCTAAAATAAAATTTTATTTAATTAATAATATTATTTATTTATTTATTTTAATTAATTCACATTGTATTTGCAGATTGTGGAGAATTTAAGGATGATGAATATGCTAAATTAGTGGGAGAATTAGAGGAAGGATTTGAAACATGTGATATCGATTCTGGAACAAGTGGACTTTGCACCGAATAATTCAAGGCCTAATGAATTTCTTGTTATGTATTTGAATATTTGTAGACTTGTAGTTATTTTTAATATTTGGACTTTGGACAATTTGGAGTTAGTGTTTTTTTTTTTTTCTCTTATGTACTACTAATTTTAAGTTTTTTAATATGTAGTAATGTAGTATGTATGCCTAAGGTGTTGCACTTTATGAAAATGGTTGATCTTGCAGTGGTTTTTGTTGGATTTGAGTTAATGGGATTTGTATGCACTGCTACTTTTTCATTAGTCTACTATGAAGTCTGCAGGGTTTCAGTTGACACTTGAAACTTGAAAGACAGTTGCTTTTCTCAATACTAAGTTGGCGGGTATGGGGCGGGGAATTGGCGGGGATGGGGCGGGGGTTTGGCGGGTATGGGGTGGGGGTTTGGCGGGTATGGGGCGGGGACGGGGATGGGGCGGGGGTGGTTTTAGAGTTGGACCCGCCGGGGCGGGGACGGGGATTATTTTCAGACCCGACATGGGGATGGGGATGGGGATGGGGATGAAAATGTGAGGCGGGGATGGGGATGGGAATGCCAAAATCCGCCCCGCCCCGCCCCGTTGACACCCCTAGTCACACACATGTATGTGTCATTAGCAACTTAATTTTTTTTTATGGAATTAGCAACTTAATTACCTTCAAATTAAATCTTCTTGCCTTAAAAGTAGACTTTGTGAACAATAATCTTAAGGGATACTACTTCACTCTAACATTTTGCCTTTTTTCAACTTGGAATTTGGGCTCTTTTGACTGAGCTGTTAAAAGGAAATATGCAGTGTATTGAAAATAAAAAATCGCTAATTGAACTTATATGTTTATGACCACTTATATAGATGATAATTCGATTAATAATTGATGGCAAAGTGATTATTGTTGAGTGTGCATCCGCTGTTTATCATAAGGTCTAATTTTGTTTGTGATTGTAGTGTGACTTTAAAATCGTAGATGAGTAACAAATGATAACAATGTATCCATCATTGCGATAGATTGATAGCCAAACTGATGTCCGATTTGCTAAAAAATTGGAAGAACTTATTCGCTATAGCACAAGTTTTTGTCAACGAATCAATTTGTATTTGCCTCCAAAGATGCAAATAGCCATCAATTTGAATGTATCAATTTGAACTCCAAGGAAGTCATCAAGGAAAACAAATTGAAGCTGCATTGCATGCATGTGCTTCCCTTGCATTCTGTTTTTAAAATTTTGTGACATTCTGTTATGTAATCGAATTCCAAGGAAACAAATAAATTTTATTGAAAAGGAAGTTTCAATATAATTTTGTTGTTATTTTATCCCTGTAATTTGTATGTTCATGCTTAATGTCACTCTCAGTTTCTTCTATTGCCCCTCATCTCTCCTTTTCTCAAGGGTAAGTTAAAGTTGTAGGCGGAAATGAGAGGCCTCAAATTGTTGCCCTATCTATTACGTAGTTTTCAGTTAATTATTCCTTCCTTGTGGATTTATTAGCTACATTCTACAAAATTATATATTTTGTACATGTTATTTTAATTAACTGATCTGAAAAAAGCTAAATTCTTTGTTTAATAATAATAATAATAATAATAATAATAATAATAATAATAATAATAATAATAATAATTGGCAAACTGACCTTATGAGTAACCCTAGTGAGATCGCTACCCCAAATTCATGAAAAAATTGGCAGATATATATTTCACGAAGGTTACTGCATCTGCAAAATCCACTTTCTCCTTATATCCGCGTCAGGTTGTCTTATGCAAGTCCCAGCAAGGGGATCAAACTTCTGCCTAGTTGCAGGCGGTCACAATATCGAGTTTGGGTTAGACTATGAATGATAAGGCTTACCGTTGTGTTCTTTGCTACCGGTTGGTGTTCCTTTGTTCTCGATTTCGACACCGTGTTCTGCTTGCTCAAGGGTTTTTGATGGGGATATTTATGGGGATTATGCAGTGTCTTGTGTTGGGATGGTGGGTATTAAATATTGGCATAATGTAGTTTGTGATACCCTGGTTGATATTTGTTTTCGGTCAGGGATTTCTACAAGAAAGGAGGTTAACATTGGGTTGACTAGAGGGAATGATGGGATTCTTCGACCTGCAAATGTGTCGCTTTATTCCTGGGATAGAGGCCTTGATGTATGTGTTGACTTGACGGGGTCTTCTCCTTAAACACAATCTGGGTTGTCTGACTTCGTTCCTGGTCGAGTTGTGTCAGTTGCGGCTCAGCGAAAGCGGACAAGTATGGGGCGCGTTGCAGGGTTATCGGCTATGGTTTTCTTCTTTTCTCCTTTTCTTCATTGGGGGAATTAGAGAAGGATGTTGTTGCGTTACTGAAGCAAGTTCAGGCTTTCGCTAGGACTTAGGATATTGGTGCTCGTGCAGCTGCTAACATCTTCAACAGGATCAGGTTCGCTATAGCTAGAGGGGTGGGAGCCCAGATTGTATCTCAGCTCCCACTAATTTCTTGTAAATCGATTGACTTTGTAAGTTTGTGTTATAATAATAATAATAATAATAATAATAATAATAATAATAATAATAATAATAAGAGGTCACTTTTTTATTTTTGGTTCATCTATATCGACCACTTTCTACAAATATAATTGTAGCCTTTAAATATACAGATATACTAAGTACTATATTTATAATACTTGTTTTATAAGGAAAATGGTTTACATAGCCTCGCTACATATAAGACCCTTACAAGAATAATATTTTAGTAAAAATGATTTCAATTCGATAAAAATAAGTTTTAATCAATAAAGTAAAAATCAATAACTTTAAAGAAGAATATTTAGGTTCAGTAAAATTAATTTCAATTATAGAAAAAATAATTTAGATTCAGCAAAATTAATTTCAATTCAGTAAAACTAATTTCAATTCATCAAATATAAGGTGAATAGAACATGGCCTAAGAAGCTAAAAGTGAAACCATACCTGAAATACTCTATTGTAACATTTATCACACCGATTTACGCAAGATTTTGTCATATATTTATAAATTAATTTCTGAAAATTCTACAATGTCATTCTTTAAAAAAGGCACCGCAATTTGCTGACGTGGCGAAATCTGATTAGCCTATATTTAGTATTTTTATTTTCATTTTGAATTATTTTTAATGTTCATAATGTATTAAAATTTTTTTTTTTATGTATTTTTTTAATACATGTATTTTTTTAAGAAATACATAATTATAAATTATGAAATCTATTTTTATAATATTAATTAATTTTTGAATATATAATTATAATTAAAAATCACAAAATTAAAATTGTCCATATTGTTCATCAATCATGTCATAGATTAGCCCCCCATTCCCAAAATCAATGTTAGTTTTTGATAAATTTGCAAATTCAGACTAGAATTGGGATAAAAATTCGTAAATAAACTGTGTTTTTGCATTTTGTTTTTTTTTTGCAGTTTTTGATTTTAGGTTTTTGTTCATAAAAAAAATCTCAACAACAATCTCATTTATAAGTATTTGCAAAGGAAGAATACCGCTTTGAATAGTTCGAAAATATGATTTATGTGGACTCAAATTGTGTAATTTTGTCAAAGAACAAGGAGTATCAAGTTTTTAGAAGATAAAGTGGTCGCATTTGTTTTAGCTCGCAACCCCTGTTTGATCCGATAAATGTAATTAAGTTTTCTCGAACTTGTTTGTGGATTAGGTAATGACTTAAACTATGTTTGTAATAACCTAACTAAATACGGTAATTATCTAACCACAAACAGATTACAAAAATCGCAGATCTCGATTCTGCATCAAACAGGTTTGCGAAAAAATAAAATTCAAACTCTAAATCGCAGAGCACACCCTCGTTATCCATTGATCGTTAAAAGAAATTGAAAGATCTGTGTTTTAGATCATCATATTACACGCTCCTAAGGCTATATTCATCGTTAAAACTATCAAACAACTTGATTTTTACATAAATCAAAATTATCAATTGAACCCTAAAATAAAATTTGTATACGAATCATGGAAGTAGATTCGAAACCCAATAAATCCGATCTTTGGGCGGAATTTTGGTCTAAGTTCCGAATAGATTATACCAGATTTTGGGGGTGGTTAATTAAGATCATGAATGAAGAACAATGATGAATTTTTTATTATCTAAATTTTAATTATAATTTAATTTTCGAAAATGATTTTTAAAAGATAAAAATAGATTTTAAAAAACTGTAATTACGTATTCTTTTAAAAATACATGTATTTACAATTATATATATATGTATAGTACATTTAGGCTTTTAAAAATAAATCAAAAATTGACCAATCATAACATGACACATCATCATGTTATTTTTCTTATGAGTTATGACACAGTAGACCTCCCCAAATTATTAAAAAAAATATTAAAAGCTTAGTATGTAGTCAAATATACTTATGAGTTATGACTCATAATCTAGCATATGATTTTATTTTATTTTTCTTTTTCTTTTTTGTGTCAAATAAAGAAACTGGTTTGTAGAATATACGTAGTAGAAATTTTCCGATGACGCGATATATGTTGCTCGGCACAACAATTGAATATTATAAACACTAGTACTCGTAACAACTAAACCTTTTCCAATGCAAAAAATAGCTCAAAGGTTTCAAAAATTAATTTGCGGAATAATAATTTAGGGTACTTTATTATATATGCTTTGCATTTTTGCGTACAATATTAGAGTAACTTTTTTTTTTGGTGACAATTTAGTAAAATGTGATGCAATGATATTGAAACTACTGGTTTGGATTGTGTATGTTATATTAACACGACACGGTACCACGAGTACTCCATATTATTATACTGAAGTGAACTTATTTTTACTGATAGTCTGATACTTTTTATATCTCGATAATAAATTATTGTAAGCTCGCTGAGCTAAAATTACCGTAAATATGTATGTTGACTATTTAGATAACGGAGCGTGGTTGATTTGAGCGAGGAAACTTGAAAAGGACTGAGAATTGAATAATCAATTTAGTGTCTCATTCTTTAGTGGGGATTTCAAGGTAGGTTAAGATAAACTATAAAGCTAAGTCTCATGGCTTTATGTCTCATGCTCTGAGAGCAAATTATCTATTGTCGTCGTCACCTCTTTAGTCCTTTTCCATGTTTCACCAAAAATTTAATTCAATATAATCATCAATTAATATAAAGTAACTTAACATACTAAAAAAAAGATAAGGTGACAATATAAATATGTGATTTATCTAGGTTGTACAAGTTAGGCAATGGTTGATAGTTATAGTTAGATAACAATGCAATGAAAGTGTTGCAGAACAACATAGAAAAAACGTGATTGTTGCCTTGTTGGATGAAATCTAAGTGATTATGAGTAGGAAAATGAAGTGAATTGCTAAATCGCGTCCGGTATTTACCGGGTAACGCCCGTATTTTAACATGACATTACAAGCATGCCCCCTTTTAATTTTACCCTAATTTACTTTTACCCTAATTTACTTTTATCCCTTATAAATTTATCATATTTTATTTTTACCCCACTAGCCACCGCCACCAGACAACTACCAGCCACCATTATTCATAAAAAAAAAAGCTTTATTCAAAAATGATTTACACAAGCGGTGAATGGACGAGTTTGCAGAATTGACGACGCCATCGGAGAGGTCGCCTGTGAGTACGGATAAAGTTTTGTCGTTTTTTTTATTATTTCGTAATTGTCGGAGAAACGCCTGAAAATTTAGAATCTACCATGGTAGGAACGCCTGAAATTTTAGAATGTCACATGGTAGATTCAAAAATAGCAGGCGTTCCTCACATTGTATTTTCAAATGTTCATGGGAACGCCTGAAAATTTAGAATCTACCATGGGACATTCTAAAATTTCAGGCGAACCATGGTAGGAACGCCTGAAATTTTAGAATGTTCCATGGTAGATTCTAAATATTCAGGCGTTTCTTCCATGGTACATTCAAACATTTCAGGCGTTTCTACTTATTATTATTGTTATTATTATCGTATTTATGTCGTTTATTATTATTATATTATTTAATTATTATAAATATTTAATTATTGTTATTATTATTATTTTCTTGGTGGTTGAATTTGGTGGTAACCGGTGGTGGTGGATGATTTTGGGGGTTGAATTTGGGTGAAAGAGAAAAGTAGGTGAAAAGGGTGAAGAGAGAGAAAGCTAAAAGTAAAAAAAAAAAAATGTTTTGATGGGTTATTTAAGGGAGGGGTATATTAGTATGTTTATTTTAAAATACGGGCGTTACTCGATAAATACTAAACGTGATTTAGTAACCCCCAAAATTAAGGGTGTGTACGGTACCAAATCAAAGGGCCTCTAAAATTAATAGTAATTAAGTATATATATTCCCGTTTGCCTAATTATTAAACTATATGAATTTCAGATATGCAGCTACTCCGTACCTTCTTCTTAATAAAATATACTATTATGGTTGCACGCAAATAATAAACTCAGTTAAATACACGAGATTGGAAATAAATGTGACAAAATATATTTGTTTGCTAATAAATTTGATATGCATGGTGATTACTTTGAGAAAGAAATTCAAGAAACTTCGTATAAATCATGTGAATAAATGTTACTTTATCGCTTATATGGGAAGAAAATACGCGAATTTATGAGGTTTTTGCTTGAATTCAGTAGTTGCTTGCTTCACCTAATTTCAACCCAAACTTAATTGTATCTAGGATAGTAACATAGACTTACCTAAATAATTTCAACCCAAACTTAATTGTATTAAACTATTAATTTACTTGGGATCATTTTGAATTAATCATTGAGGGAGGAAAAAATTAACTAAATCATTGAGGCACCAATTTTCTAACTCATAATATTATAATCAAAAGGCTCATGGGTCTGAGTAATATCAACGAGCCTGCCATACATGCCATATGAACGGGCTTTGTCTTTCAAAATTTGATCCGATATTAATATTATTGGGCTGTGTGGCCCACTCAGTTTTTTTTTTTTTTTTTTTTTTTTTTTTTTTTTTTTTTTTTTTTAAACACAACACTAACTCTTTTGTGCTTTCGTTGTTTTGGAATTTTCAAAATGTGAATAAGACTTTTTATGCGGAAAATTAGTATAAAAAGGCTTGAAGTATCAAATATCATTTCATTTTTTTCATGTTGAATCTATAATTTAATCCATAATACGGAGCATACATCAAGTATTACCTCCGTTTCACATTGTTCTTAACCTTTAACGGGTATCAGTATAAAACTTAGAGTTTTAGAGCATATATCCCTTATAGTATACTTGTAAAAATCATAAAATAATAATAATAATAATAATAATAATAATAATAATAATAATAATAATAATAATAATAATAATAATAACATTCTGGTATAGCAAACGATGGTCAAAATCAAAGATTATAAAGTGTCAAAATAAAAAATGTTAAAAGCATTATGAAGCAGATGTAGTATGATTCTTTTGCTAAGCCTTAATAACGTTGACGATTCTAATAATGTTGGACGATCGATTCTAACAAGGGTAAAAGAGTGAATAATATATAAGTTTTCCAGTGGACAGCCAATACTACTAATTGAAATTATTGTATGTTTTAATCATGTCAAAATAAAGCATAAAAAGTTAATTTTAACACACTCTTTGTTTTTCTTTGATTTATTTTGATGTCGACGCCAACTATTAACGTCCAAACGACCAAACTCCTATAATTTGAAGATCTGATTGACAACAATAATATACAATAAATAGATGTAAATACAAAAAAGAAAAGGAAAAAAAAAAAAAAAAGTGACAACCAATGCTAATTAAATTATTATTATTTCAAAAATTACACTAGTCTGATAATTTACAATGAATTAATCCATTCGGAACCATCAATGAAGCTAAGCGAGATAAAAGGCCCCGCTTCTTCATCGGTAAGTTCTCTAGACCATGCTACTCTCCCGGCAAAATTTGCCCCCGGACCTGTGCACTTGTATTGTCCGTAAAACACCGTCCTACACGAATCCCAACGACAACATTAATACCCAAAAAAAAAAAAAAAAAAAAAAAAAAAGCCTAACAGTATGCATAGGTCGTATTTAGTATACTCTAATAAATGAAAAAAATACGTGTATAACATAAAACAAACTTATAAAACCTCCATAGAGAACAAGTTTTATAAAGATAAAATAAACGCGCTCTATACAAATTTAAACCTGGCCTAGAAGAATAAGTATAAGTAAGAGGTTACTTTTATTTCACCTAGCGTCCTCATTATTCTAAATATGCATATATATAGTGATAAAGCAAACTTCATGCGCATGCGATATCCACAAAGGAATTGCTAGATATAGATAGGATTGTAGTCCTTACGTAACACATTTTATAACTTTTAAATACTTATTCTTTCCTAATTTTTATTTTCATTAATCTAATATCATTATTTTAAACCATGGTTGAATATCTAAGTTGATTCGAAGTTAGGTAGTATTAAACGAATCATTTGAACTACATAAAATAGCTACACAACATTCCAATGAAGTACCGTTCTATTATATAGTGACAAAATTAGTGAATCTATGTACTTTATAGGTGGGCTACTTAATTAAGATGATTAATAATCTTTAATTTGAATTGGTACGTTTATTTAAGATGATTAAAGTACATAATAGTTAGTGGATTGTATATTTTTGAGCATATATTATTCATTAAATAATTATGTAAAGAATACGGTGCCATCCAATGTGGACTCCAGCAAAAATAGGTAAGATAAAGAATGAGCTTTTTGATTTTAAAATCACAAATTAAAGTTATAAAAATGAAAGAGGAAAAAGTATGGAATTTTATGGGGGAATCTGACTAGCCTTAAGGTGGAATCTGGTTCTTAGTTTCTATGTTGGGTTGAGCTCTTTGCTTCAATCATCATATAAAGTCATGCACGGGTGTAAGGGCCTAGTCCCACCACCAACTCTCTATAATGGACTTTATGTGTTTGAGTGTTTCCCTCTTTATTTTTTTCCATTTTTATAGTAAGACTATAGGAATTAGGTCGAGTTGATGTAACTCCAACCTAGGATAAGATACGAGTCATGTAATCGAGTATGTGTCAATTATTCGATAAATTGTCGAGTATATGTGATGAAAAGTTTAATTATATTACTTCGCATATTACAATAACTTGAGATACTTTGTACCTTTTTAGCTAGTATCTACTTTGTAATACTAATAGTGAGAATATCGATATCTGAACTCGATTATTATTATATAGTCAAGATACCTATTTTAGCTTCTAGAGCTACTTTCAATTCCTAGTTCAAGATTTTATTCTTGACAATAATAACTCATTAAAATCATTCTTTGATTCATATACAACAAAAAGGCCAAAGGTTTGGTCATAGACTCATAGCTAGTGATAAATTTCGCACGCTTTTCAATTTGTTTTGTTCTTTACATAGTTGCTTTTCATGCTTATACCTTTGTCATCTTCCGTTTAATTAGACAATCTTATACTTCGTATTATTTAGCCAAAGATCAAGTCCTTTAAGTTCAATAAACACAACTTGGTACTTTTATGCTACAATACTCTTACATGACAAGAGCCAAGAGGTAGGTCTAGCTATGCATATATATGTTTAATTTATGCAACTTGGTACTATAAAGTTATGGTTATGTATCCTTTTGCTTAATAAAACAAGAATAGTTTCCAACCTATGCCACCAGGTCCACCACTGTATTAGTTCACACACCAACGTATGACATACATGCAATCATATAACATCTAGGTATACGTTCCTTTAAGTAATTAATATGTACACTCACACTTTGATAAACCATGCATGTATGATAAATGCGCGTTATTAGTAAAAGAGAGATGAAGGACATACAATTCGCGGTTAGGGTCACCCCAATTATACCAGCCAGCGGGAATGATGATGTTGTCAATGTAAGTGAAAGCGAAGACGACCCTAGAGAAGGGACCCCAAGCCCTACCAAGGTACAAAGCACCTGAGCCCGTGACCTTACAGTTAATAAAAGAGAAACCAGTATCATCTAACATGCTACTTCTTCCTTGCGCTGTTACTGCCCCGTATCTTTGTGCTATTGCGTGCACATGACATCCCTGCCATCCAATCATCCATTATTATACATTTCTTAATACAAAATTATTAATTAATAAGGCTAATGACAAAGAAAATTTCTACAAGATTCAGAATATAGAAGGAATTTTGCTCTTGTATTTTTCTACTTGTTTGAGTAAGATTCATGTATAATATAAGATATAGTAGTATCTAATTGATGACATATACAATGCACTATAGAACTATATGATTGTTTTACTGAAAATTTGATATCTATCTTGATGCTAATTTGTTTAATATTATTTGATTTTACGCGCTTTAGGATATGATTATATAATGGGAAATTAAATATTTCTCTTTACAAAAACAATTTTATTACTTAGAATAACTCACATAAGTATATATTTTCGCAAAAGTTTTTTCTTCTCTAGAAGCTACGAAGTATATTTCATATTAACATATATACGGAGTATAAGACAAGAAGAGATAATAATAGATAGATCCTAATCTTAAAACCGTGTCGATTTCAAATGGGGAGAACTTAACAGTAAGGGGATATAATGTAACAAGACAATATATTCACATGAAAGTTCATATCTTTTTGTCTACATTGTTATAGATGATTTCTTTTTTTTTTTTTTTTTTTTTTTTTTTCTGCTTTAGTATATATTATCACGAATTTCTTGTTTGTGAAAGTTGGAAGACTCTCAATCTCTTATTAATTACAACAATTTAAAAGGGACTTTTTAATACAATTAATGTATTTTAACATTAAAAATAAAAATAGGTAAATGAAGTATTCCTCCCAAGACAAGGACAAAAGTGGATATACCATATTAATACAATATTTAGAGCTGGCCAATAACACTAAAGTTTCTACTTTATGAATTCTTTAACATGGATCGTTAATTATAAACATTTTTACACAAAACTTTCTACTAACTTCTAAAAAGAGTTAGCACGTCATTAACAGAACATCTTAACCGGAAATTATGTACATAAATCAACAATTATCGTCACTATCAATCATTGATTAAAGTTATGAAACTATGATTGACTAATAAGATGTGTGAAAAGGGTACATCAAATAACGATGTTTTTCTCTTGTCCAAAAAAAAAAATAAAAAATAAAAAAATAATGATGTTGTTCTTTTCACCTTATATTAAAGATAAGTATGGCTAGAATTGACGATCATGAGTAATTTAAATTCACATGAAGGTTAATCAAATTCGCGGGATTTTTATAAATGAAATATACCTCAAAAAGAGAGAGGCCATTGCCAAAGATGAAATCAACAGAGCCCTCAATGTAGCAATCTTTGTAATAATGCCTGCCAAAATGATCATAAAGAGTGTCTTGTGCTCCTAAAAATTTACATCCTATAAAAGCAGCCGTATCTGCTGATATTCTGAATGCCACTGCTTGTACACTTTGTGCTCCTGATGCTGGTAATGGAGTGGTATTCTGCATAAACATAATTTGATAAGCATGTTTGGTAGACAGTTATGAATGATTGAAAACTCTAAACTATCTCATGCTTAGTTTTTAAATATAAGTCTACTACGAAGTATTTAAGTGGTAGAGAGGATTGTTTCAATTAAATCTTTGAAATGAGCAAAGAAAAAAATAACTCATGTACTTAGCTTTAGGTATATCCGAATACATGATGAAAATTTAGTAAAAGTAGTACTTAGGCTTGGAAATTACTCAGCATAATTTGAACTAATAATGTCATAACTGAAAACAAACCAAAGGAATAATAGTAAACTACACCAAGTCAACTTCCAAGTCACATGCAAATCAAACAAGCTCCAAATAAAATTCCCAAAAAAAAAACAAAATTTGTTGAAGTTTTACATGCTAATTCAAAGATTTGTCTTAGAGCTTAAAATTATTGGGACCTTATATAGATATTTTTAAAATAGTACATCAAAATATATCAAATTGAGAGGGACATTATAAATATAAAAAAAGATAAGAAAATAAAAACCTTGAAGGTGATGTTCTTGGCCATGAAATAAAGAGAATTAACAGCAAATGTAGCTGAACTGTAAGTTCCCAAAGGTTTGCCATTGGGCCCAATTGTTTTTGCTGTGTCTCCCCATTGGACTATTGTGTTATCTGCTCCTTCCCCTTGTATGGTTATGAAAGATTTTAGTGGGGGTATGTTCACCTTCTCCCTATAAATTCCACAAAATAAATGTCACAATAATTTAGAATATGTAAATATCTCATTTCATATTTGATCATTATCAAGCAAAAATCACTAAAAATCAAAAGATTATAAGCACAATGATCAATTGAAAATTTGCATGTAAAGTTTTAGGACAGTATTCAAGACACGAGATTAAAAACAATATCGTTTACAACTTTACATCAATGTGCTTTGTGACCTTTTATACCCTAAAAAATCGGATGTATTGAAGGTATTGAGTTAGGTTTGTAAGACATTAGATCAAAAAAAATTTGTATACATTAAGAAGTGTTGTGTTTGTGACCATATACGTCTAAATTTAACATCAAATACATATAAAGTCTTGGGAGGAGGTGGTACCCTATTAAAGAATCTCGTCTATATCATAGGTCTAGGTGAATGTCACCGGTACAAAAGTAAAATAAAATCAAATGCATGTAACTTCCACCTTTGGAAACAAACCCTTTTCAATATTTACGTTCATAAAATCAAATTCACTGCCATTTCTCAAAATTATTACAAATTAAAACTTATGATCATTAGCCTTTCAACCTAAAAAAACAGAGCATTTCACAAAGGTGAAATAACAGAGCATCCAACAAAAAACAAGAAAAAAAGAGAGAAAGAAAAAGAAAACTTACGTGTAAGTTCCAGCTTTAACCTTGATAACAACTCTAACAAGATTAATGGCGGGAAGAGAGTCAATGGCATCTTGAATAGTAGTAAAATCTCCAGTAACAGGGTTTTTACTAACAGTCAAAGTGTAAGAAGGAAATAGCTTATTTTTGGCTGTTTTAAAAAGGGTATGTTTAAGACTACCAACAAAATTAACCCACTTCATAAACTGTTTTTCTGAGTTATATGTTTGTGTCATATTAATGGTTAATTGTTTCGGGTTCGGTTTTCGGTGCTTTACATGATGGATTTTACCATGTTTTTGATGATGATGATCACTATGACCTTTCCCATGGCATAATCTTTGGTAGATTGAACAATGTAACAAAAAAAGCAGGAGAATTGAAAGAAATAGTTTTTTCCTAGACATAACTAGTTTTTTAGGACCAAAATTAAAGTTGTAGGAATTGTAGGAAATAGCTAGGAGAATTGAATGTGGAGGGAATGTTGATGGGATGAGTTTAAAGTGTGGCAAAATGTGAGTTTATATAGTATTACTTGTTTTAGGTGGAAAGTAAGTTTGTTTTGTAGTTTAATGGAATGTTATTATAGGTCACGGGTGCTTCGGCTTACAACATTACAAAATAATGAGAGAGAAAGTGAGAGGATTCACGAGTGAGGATTGTAGGCCACAAAGACATGGGAGGATCCCACGTTGGCACTACTTTTTCAATTCCGATCATTAAAAAAAATACGCTGAATGATTAACTTGTTCTCTATAAAACATCACCAGAAATCAGCGGGTTTTACATGCAGTCACGACGCCACGTATAATCGGTAGGAATACTGATACAGTAATGAGTTGCCATAAAATCTATCATTCTTTCCAAACTACGTTTCATATTTTTTTGCAACTTTGAAATATTTTATATCTCACAAATAATACTCCAAAGATGCAAAAAATATAAAATGGAGGTAGTATTATCCCATGCATAATCTAATGACGACCCTAAACACCCACAACAACAAGCATCGTTTCCCTCTCGATTTCATACTACACCTCTCACGCGATTTTATCATCACTTAACACTTTAAAGTTCAAACCATTAACATTCATTTCATAGTAATCGATCATGATATTTATGTGGTTATGCCTGAATGTCTTTAAACCTTAATCATCCCCCAATAAAAATCATGTTGCTAGTCACTACAAATTTTCACATGGAGAAAATGGAATTGAAAAGTAGTACTACGTAGTATAGTTTATGAAATTTGTATTGTGACAAGTACTATGTTTCATGTTTGCACAATAGCAACGTACGAGTAGCATAAAAGTGTTAAAACCATCAACTTTTCACCAAACGCACTGTAAAACCGCCTTTAGAAAAACAGCGTTTTGCTATCCTAATAGTTGTTTTTGAGCTCAAACCAAACATGTTCATGGCCCATAAAAGTTCACGGATTGATCAAATAATTAACTGCTTTGACAACCATAACACATTTGCTATTTTTCTACCTATCTATCAATGCACATGTTTGGGAGTTGGAACCGCCATACTTTTAGTTTTAATGGTGCTATATCTGCTACTATTGCTATTGTGGCCTACATTCTAGTATGGTGATTAAAGATAGCGACTATTATCGTAAAGTTTTATTTAAAATAAACTTGTAACATATGCATGACTATTAATTGTGAGATCAGAGTGATTTTTACTTTATACTCGTAATTGTTTATTTATTACTCTTTTTGGAAACAATGTTTCGATTCGTGTCTAACAAAGTAACAATAATATAGTGTGAGATCACCTCAACTAGTACTTACTCTTAACTACATAACTAGAATAATTAGTTGGGATGATTTTATTATAATTTTATGAACATGAGAAATTTGTGACTGAAAATGGTCTTGGACCCACAATTGTGAGTTTATGACCATTTTCTACCACAAAATTTTGGTACCACCAAAGAATGTTCATAATTAAATAATTTAGCAATATTTATGTAACATACAACAAATAATATAATGGGCAACATTGGTTTCTATTATAGGACGGCTAGTAGGATGAATGTCCATGAAAAGGATGTGATTAAAATCGAGAAGCCTCAAATTCGAACCTCAAACTTAGGTATGAACAACAACGAACAATAACTACGATAATACATAAATAATTCGGAATTCAAACTTCATCGTGCATGGTAGTTAAGTCAACATATGAGTACTTAAATTTACCAAACAATATTAACCGAAGATTATTTAATTTCACCAACTTCATGATAGATTTGTTCACCAAAAAAAAAAAGGTGATTAGGAAAGCACTTAATTGTTTATACAAATATAACAAATTCTTATCCTTGAATTAGAAAGTGGAAGTAATGGTTGTCTGTTATATATATCAGAACATAGCTTTATATGATCAAAGTCCAACTCCACGTACCTCCACCCTGCCACCCACCGCCCTTGCCACTCTTCAACTCATCCTAAAAAAGGCCTTAATGACCTAACCATGGCTTCTATACATAATTTAAAATATAGTCAAGGGATCATTTTGTGGCTATTGATTTTTGTCATATAAACTAATTCAATTTTATAGATTGAATAAGTTGTGGTTAGTATTATTTCATATAATTAAAAAAAATTTAATGCATTAACAAAACATTAGTAATAGGCATACGTATCTTGAAAAAATATTGCCTATTTGCGTAGTTTTAAATTAAACTAATAGCACATTATTTTTGTTTAAATCAAGTTTTACTTTTATATCCTATCGATTCGTAACTTACACTACATACTTCTTACTTGTCAATTTGACATAGTATATAAAGTGCATAAACTATTAACAATCGAACTTGCATTTAAGCTACTAAATTAGGTTTTCCCTCAAAGAATGGATTTGGAAGAAAACTGATAAATCGTCACGCCTTCCCATGGGTCAGCTATCTCTCTGTCCCCTCCCTTTCATCATTGTATGAAAACTATCCAAACAAACTCAAATGTCAAAAAGGTACAAGAAAGACCACAGATGGTTTCAAATTAGCATGTAGAACTTTTTGGTCGGTCAAAGGAGAGCAAATGAATCGACATGAATAATATATACACTAAAAAACACATTTTGTACCAAATAAAGTACCATATTATTTTATGAACACATGTTAAAAAAAATAAAATAAAAATAAAAAAAATAAATAAATAAAAATAAAAAAATAAAAAAATAAAAAAAATAAAAACATTAACAATTTCCGCTACACATTAAGTAAACCGCAAGCCAGTTTAGAAAGACAGAAAGAGAGAGTAATGCACCTGGCTGATGAAAAATACAAGAGACGACAGATAAAAACTACGATTTCAGTTCTGGAGAAGGCAAAGTAATTTAAAATAACTACCCCGTTTAATTACAATAATATAAATATTAAATATACTCGTAGGTAGTATAATACAATGAACTGCATCCTTAATTCTTTACAGGCTATACAAAATATGGTAAGAGACCCTACCATAAAATATGTATTATGTAATGTACATAAATTTACAATTTCACCTATTGACAACCCTAAACAAGAAACAGAAAAATTAGTACCCGGGAGGCTGTGACAAGAACGACTTTCACTTCCAGACCTTTATTGCCCCGTCTCTACTACTTGATAGCAACAATCTCTGGTTCAATTTGACAGTAGCAAGAGAGAGGATCGAGTCACGATGACAACCTGCAGGATCAGTTGCAGCTGCTGCAAGAACTGCTTTTGTTGTCAACTTGGTGGTAGTAGGTCGTTTCCTCATTTCCTGTGTGAAGGAGGTGAGGATAATTTTACTTTTGCACGGACAAAATAAGCATAGCTATTGACAGTAATATTTGAAACACCTCCTGAATAATTTGTAGACGATAAAACTTAGTTTTAAAAAACTATTCTGGACATCTCTTCGACAAGCCTATGAATCCTGAAGTACCTGTTTAATTCAGAATTTGAACAACCTATTCTCTCTATATGATAGTCATGAGCACAAATTTAGGTTCTTGTATGTGCTAAAGAATCTTCAAGCAATTTCTTAAATGAGAACAAAGTTTGACATCTCCAGTAATAAAGGAAGAAAAAAAATTATTTGACCCGTTGACCTGGAATCACAGCTTGAAGAGGCAAATGGCATTAACCAGCAAAAAAAAAAAAAAAAAAAAAAAAAAAAAAAAAAAAAAAAAAGAGTGGGTTCTGAAATTTCCCCTCCTAAGATGTCACATTGCTTAAGAGCATATACACCCGATGCAACCTAATAGTTTCTTATTTAAATGAGGCCTATGAAAATCACACCCATTTCCTTCTAAGATTATGTAGATTTCGGCAACACAGTAAGGCAAATACCAAACAATGTAAAGCTTCAAGGACTTCATCACATCCAGGGTTCATAAACACTACATAATAAATAAATAGGTAAGTAACTAATAAAATAACATACCTGCACAACCTGTACACCAAAGCTAGATTTACTTTCGTAAAGTTCATCATTTCCAAGGCCTTTAACTGTAGGCCCAGTCACACAGTAACTGCGCTCAGGCCTGCATTATACGCAAGAAAGTAAGTAATTAAGGAGAGCAACTAATATTACAGGATGAAAAAACAAAAACAAAAAGAATGTTAACCAGCACCTGCTATGGTCCCATCGGCGTATTCTCAAGTCAGTTCCACCAGTCAACAAATCTCCCCCAGGTAGAGGAAGCAATGAACGAATGCCTGAGACCCGAGGAGGAGGTTCATTCAACTCGTCAACTCGATATTTCAGGTTAACATTTCGTCTAGGGTCTGATTTGGGATTTGCCTTGTTCTGCGGTCTGGCCAATGCCCAAGGCAACTCAGAAAACTCAGCATCACCATCATTACCTGGCACTCTGAATACCTATGTATATGAAGCAAATAGCCTTAGAGAGTAGAACAAGTGTTATTATGGAAAGAACTTGAAGCAAACAGCCCTTAGTCAAAAACCATTCCTCATGTATGTAATTTTGCTTAAAACCAGTCTTTTTTCAAACTTTCAATTCATACACCCACATTATTCACATGTCAATTTTTAAAAATCTATCACCAACCCATATATATATATATATATATATATATATATATATATATATATATATATATATATATATATATATATATTAAAGTGTTCAACATCTCATAAAAATGACAAAAATATACATATAAGTGGTTCATTTAAATTCTGAAAGCAATGTATATCTGTTCTTCTCCACAAAACAGTGTTATGGGTGATGAATTGCCAAAGTAAAATAACCTATGGTCATTATTAGACACTATAAAAAAAATAAAAATAAAAATAAAAAAAGGGCTTTAAAAACTGGGGTGATTATGTGCAAAATGAAATAAACAAGGGGTAGCATGATGCAAATTTCTCTAATATACTCCCAAGTACAATATAATATGATTATTATCTATTTTTCTCCTGACAAAGAGCAATCATGTAACACTGCCTTTCAGAATTTTACATTCTTCCCAACACAGACAAATGAAGAAACTGAAAATTGTACCTGATGGCAGCTTCCAGTTTCTGCATTCCACAGAGAAACTTCATTATAGCCAGCAGCAACATAGACAAGAGGCCTACCCATTGAAGAAAAAGGCGTGTGTGGTAGAGGTACATAGAGACACATGTTTTCTATAGGGCATGGACGTGAATACTCCCATGAGTTGACTGGTATGCGAAACCTAAGATCCCATAGGGTCAATACACCCCTGGAAGACCCTGATATGAACCAGTTTCCTGATGGATCTGTCACCAAATTGGAGACATAACCCTCCTCAGGAGGAGATTTTAGTGTCCATGAATCAGTATTAGCCCTGGTGTCCCAAAGGTGAATACCATAATTCTGAGTGCTGTACATAACCAAATGACTTGAAGAGGCTTCAGCAGAGTAGTTGACAACGCTGAGGATTGCACCTTCTCCAACGTCCTTTTTCTTCACATCAGCGACACCAGAATACTTCTCAATAACATTGCCAAGTCCTCTGGAGATGTAATCCACAGAGAATGTGTGTATACTGCCATCACATGCACCAACAACAACTTGTGCAGAACCCCGAATCATTGTTGCGCACAATGCCCGGCTACCCTCCAAGGAATAGGTCAACTTAGACCTAAATGAAATATCCTTCTCTAACTTCCTCGAATCCCAAACCCTCACAGTTGAATCATCAGAAGCACTAACAAAAAAACTGTGGTCCGTTGAAACAGCAATATCATTGACAGCAGAGCGATGTTCCTGTAGATGAGCAACCAGCACTCCACGGGGTTTCCACCCAGAGTCAGGAAGTGCTGAAGTCCACGAGACAGATGGTGATCCGGCTACATCAGCCGAGGGCGGAACATCCTCGTTAGATGTTGAACTTCCTTTTGTGCTGCTACTGCTAGAAACTCCCAAATCTTGAAATTTGCTACTCATATATGATGCTTGGTCACTTTCCCTGGATTCAGGTTCATGTACCACTCTATGGAATTGTTTTGTGCCATTTGCAATGCTGAATGAACCTGAGACAAGTCTAGGTGCTGGGACTGAACTAGCCATGCCAAATGGTTTGTTCACTGGATCCATCCAAGGTGCGGTAGATGCACCTAATCCTAGTAAGTTAGGTTGCAATGAAGTGTCAGATGCTGCTTGAGCGTTCCCCAATGCTCTTCTGTCTAGAGAGAAAGAGTACAGCGGTATGTTTTCAGATGCTTTTTCATGAAGGATGCTATTCATACCATTGAGCTGAGGAGATATCAAGCCAGAGAACTGCAGCTTCTCTGGTGATAGATGATCCCTTATATCAATCGTACTTGAAGCATTACGGATACAACCCCTCAAAGCTCTCAATTTAGCCTCAGTACTATCACATTCCATTGTCTCTATTGTAGAAAGTCCCCCAACACTTTGATCCTCAAATTTTTGGTAAGTGTCAGGCCAATTCTCCAAGGAAAGCAAGTCCTCATCCTGTTTCGGCAGATCAATAGCACCCCATTGATTAGGCTGTGTTGATGTATTGTACCATATCTTTCTCTGTCTCTCCAACATGTCTGAGCCCTGCGCATTTGAGATCCGGGCATTCTCTAAGACTTGATAGAATACCTGTCTAGAAACAGGAGGCTTTAGACATGAAAGAAGAGCCTTCTCTGAATCTAATGAAGCTGGCTGCCTGCGCAGAAAAGGGCGAACAACTGGGGCTAAATAGGCATAGGTATCAACAGCTCCCAGACTCTCACTACTTGCAGCAATGAAGGATGCAACTGACCTCCGAACCCATTGACTGGGATGACATAGCAAGGGAAAAGCATGCTTTATCATATCAAGCAGAAGTCTTTTCCGTAAGAAACCACTATTGCACAGTACAGATAAGCAATCCAACGTATTCGCTATAACACCTTCAATTGTATCACTCAAAGCCTGCTCAATGTATGGTGAAAGGTATTCCTCAACGCTTCTTTGACCCACAAAGAAGCAAACATACACTATCTGCCCATAGAAAACTGTTCTCAACTGCTCATCACGGTCATTCAGAAAAGCAGGAAGGATAGGCAACAGAAAATCGTTGCTCTGTCTTTGACCAAAGAAGCAACACAAACCAGCAATATCCTGCAAAAGTGCTCTCCTAATATTTGGAGTCTGCTTCGAACCCATTACAAGATCCTGAACAACATCAGCTATGGATTTTCTAAGAAGAGCAAGTTGTGCATTGCTGTACACTTTGAGTGCCTGTCCTTTATCAGTAGATGGTGCCAGTGATTTCTGCGGTGCATTTAGTTCATCTAACATGCCTGCCTCACTCAATCTTATAGAGTGAACTAAAAATCCATAGGATGTTAATGCAAGCTTAGATATATTGGTTGCATAACAAATTCGTACACTTTCCTCTGGATCATCGGGAAGCGTAGAGAGCATCGGAAGAATGTATTCAGGAAAAATTTTAGCATCACTTGGAGGAAATTCTCGAACTAGTGGCAAAATATCACACAAAGTCTCTAAAGCAGCACAACGAACAATGGCAGCTGTGTCAGACAGCATAGCAATAACATATGGGAGCACACGCTGGAGTCGATCTTCATCATCAATATATATAGATGAATACCTCAACAAGAGTATACAGCAACGCCGCAGGTGGGGGAACTTGACATTACGTATGCATGAGCATAGCAAAGAAGTAATAAGAACCATACCTTGACAACTCATATCATCAGGAGGTAGCTGTAGAAAGGGCATGCGATAAGTATCCGATTCATTGTCATATTCAGACATTAATGATTTCAAGTCGTCAATAGTGATCTTCTTCAAAAAGGCATGCTCCCGTTTCTTAAACACATCAGATATAGTTTGAAGTAGATTAGGAGAGCTGTACACCTCCTGATTTTGCAAAAAGTGAATTTTAGATGTATCCTCTTGATATGTCTTATCACTGGAGAAATGATTTGAGTGATCCACGTCCCTAAGTAAGGCACTCAAATCACCAAGAAGCTCAAACCGCTCATTAACTAAGCTTCCCGTCTGGAGATCTTTCTTCAAAGAGACCTTGGGATAGCTGTGCAATTGAGTTGAGACTGTTTGTTGGGATGTATTACTAGATGCATAGTTAGATTGTACCCCATGTCCTCCACTTGAGTCAATATTAAATTTATTGTCTGTCATTTGCTTAACTATTTCATGGAAAGCGCTCTTACACATTACAATCTACAAAAACCATTACCCAAACAAAGCATTAGAGACAAATAACAGAAGAATTAAAAAAAATATCTGGACATAAATGAATTTAGATTACCCTTGCATCAGAATCAAGAGTATTCAAACATGAATAAAAGTTGTGCAGGAATGGTAAGAAATAGTTCGGAAACACGGTGCCAGCATAACTCTGCAGATAACCTTCAGCAGACAATCGTTCATCTGGATTCAACTGGATCATGTGAAGAATCATCTTCCGTACTCCTGGATCAGGGATCTGAAATGATGGTAGACATTTAATAGAATTTAAAAGCCAATCTCGCTGGTATTTCAAGATGCATTTAGATGCAGTACCTTCTCAAGATTCTGACTAGGATCATATTGCCCTCTCCGGTAAGCAAGCAGCTGCGAAAGTTCAAATAGTGGATGGCCCTCAAGGAAAAGCTCTGCTATCACACAACTAAAAATAAAGAAAGCAATAATTTAAAAATAAATGATCAAAAAATTATCATGAAGAAACATGAAAATTAAAGGAACAAACACAATTAAAAAGCGTTTCTACAGAAAACAAATACTTCGTGTCTTCGTGGATATTAAGCAAGAAAAAATTACTTTACAGACTTCTCAAACCAACTCAAGTTATTGAAATATCCAATCTTTATAAAATCAAAACAAACTCACGCCTGCACTTGGCTAGTAAAAGATACTACATACATAAAAAAAAAAACTCACCCTACTGCAAAGATGTCCATAGATGGCTTAAGCGGTGCATCAGGCGCGACTGGCATATCATCTCCATGCTCATAAAATCTCTGTAATATATGACAATAGAGATTGTGGGTACGTGATTACAACAACGACAATAACAATCAAAGCTTTAATTCCAAAGACACGTCAGTATATGGGTGCAAGATTTCATTGGAAAAAAAACAAAGTGTATACTGGGTAATCGTGAAGGAGCAATAACATAACCAATTGGTTCGAAACTTCGAAATAAGGCTCAATTGCCACACTAGAATGGTTTCGGAACTTGTCTCCAATGCACCTATGTCAATCTTCAATGCATAGTTTAAGTTGCATACTTGGATGTGACATATTTCCTTTTCCCAGCAACCATATCAGGATGAGTAAAAATTCATGAACTCTCAACTAGCAAGACCCGACATTATTTTTTGGGGTATATTACCTACAGTAACCTTGGGTGTACTTATTCAAATTTATACACCTAAGAAATATCTCTTTTTAACTGAAAAATTGCCCACATATATCAAAACTTTCTTAAATTTGTAATATCAGGTCAGCATCAACTCTATAAATTCAACCATAGCAGCAGAATTCAGCCTTTGGATACTAGGTTATTTCAAGAGAAATTGTGCACTTCATGGTTGATTTTGAGATTAAAATTTAGAGTAATTTGAAAATTGGTTTTAAGTACAGAATTTCCATAGAAATTTGTCATCTATAATTAGAAATTATTAAATTGCTATATTCAGATGCTGCATTCAAAAAGTGATAAAAAAAGCCACAGTTCTTCCAAGTTTCAATATAGCAGCAAGTAGCTTATGAGAGCACAGGGAATAGTTATAATATTATTAACAATAAACATGTAAAGAAGATTACAGCAAGTAGCTTATGAGAGCACAGGGAGTAGTTATAATATTATTAACAATAAACATGTAAAGAAGATTACAGCAACAATAACCTACCTCAGGTGCGAGATAACATAGCCTTCTTCCCCCAGTATCAAAGAAAAATGAGAAATCAGATGGATCGTCATCAGGAATATAGGTTGGTTTAAAAGATGCAAAATCAGCCAGGTAAACCCAATTCCAAGAAGTAACCAGCACATTCTCACACTTAATATCACCTCCAAAATGAAAACCAAACACCAAATTATACACAATGCAAACCCATAAAAGACAAAACACAAAATTACCACAATGCAGTCACTTACCATGACAAATATCATGCTCGTGACTCTGCTTCAATGCACACAAAAGCTGAAAGCAAGAATTTGAGATGCCAAAGTGATCAATCAATCCAATTCTAAAAGGGCATACAAAGATGTAGAGTAGGAAGAAACTATAGGAAAACCTGAAAAGCAAGCCATTTCTTCTCAATTAGGCTAAGAAAAGGCCTTGTACTGAGCCGATCATGGAGATTATTGAAGAAATACTGCCTGAGCAGATAAGCCGCCTTGTCGGTTTCCAGCCAAAACTGCTCACACCCAGTTCAATACCATCAATATTAGAACAGCCCATATTGTCAGAAGATAAAGGAAAAAAAACAAAAAAAAAAACTCAAAAATACATTACACAGCCAGCCAAATAGCAAGTTCAATCCCAACAATCGAGAGCACCCACAACTCCACAAGATCAACTCAAGTTCATCAATAGTACCAACATCACCAGCGGAGAAGAATTCTCATACTGTTCCAAACAATGCCAGCAACCCGAAACACCGCTTTCTCAATCGCAAATCCCCACATAATCAAAATATAGAAACCCCTTCCCTACCACCAATACCCTCCCCAAAAAAAACCCAAAATCTTGCAGCAACCTAGTCGAAATTCCATCAACACCAGAAATACCCACATAGAAAAACTTCATATTTCCAAAATTTGACAGAAAACAGCTCAATTACATAAGAATAATCATCGTTTTCCAAATCAATGGTCAGAATTTTAATACAATTAACAAGTTGAAGGATCAAAATTTTCAAATAATATCAGCTATATAGTTCAATTCCTCAAAATAAACATACAAATTAACAGCAATAACACTTCAATTCCACCAAAAACAAAAACTCAAAATTTCCAAAAACCAACAACAACCCAATTCAATTGCACCAAAATTAAGAACACCCAACAAATCAAAACCCCAAAAAATCAAAAAAATTGATACCTGAAAAGGCCAAATATGGGGATTTTCAATAGAACGAAAGATATCCCGAATATGAAAGAGTCTTTTCTCGTAATCCCGCAAATCGATCTGGTCTCCTCGTTTGAAGTAAACCTTAACAAGAACAAGGCCTTCATCGTGTTTACATTGAATTGATTTGAAGAATCGACCACGACCAAGTACTTCTTTAAGAACTAAATTGTACGATGATGGAAGATCATGAAGGTAATACTCTGTTGCTGATGCTTGTGTTGTTCTTGCGATCTTATTTCCCATATTTCACTTTATTTGTCCTCTTTCTCCTTCATCTACTGTTGCTTAATTGCTTATTCTGTGACTGCCATGGATTTAAATTCAAGGTTTTTTTCAATCTTTTTGGGATGTTTGTTTGGTTATGTGTGTACGTTTTCTTAAACGGGTCAAAGTGACGAGTTATGAATGTTGTGTTGAGGGATCATAACTCGTATACTGACATGCCCACATAATATCTTGACTTGATTGTGATTAGGCCTACACTAAGCCCAATAACTTAGCGTTTGGGTTTAGGGATCATTTGAATAAGGATATAAGCGACACGGCTATGTCTGACGGTAGCGTTTAGGCTATGTTTAGTTTATACTGTTTTTTATAGATTAAATTTAGACCTTATTTGTACATTAATTTATAAGATAAAAATTATCAAATGACATGTTAGATTCATATTACTATACCCTTTCTAAATATGAAATAAAATAAAATAAAAAATTATAGTTCTTTTTTTATTACGAAATCAAATATATATAATGATAAATAAACACACACAAATTTTTTAAAAAAATTAGCTTTGATCTTATCATGTCTGATGTGTTGTGAACGTAGCCTTAGTCCAAATCTAACACTATTTTGACTCCTATCAAAGAAAAAAAAAATTGACTTGAATCGAAAAGATGATATATTTGACTCCCATTAGGAATAGCGAGTAGTTTTCATAGTAGGAAATAATACAGACCCCTACAATCTGAAATCGATCATAAAATTCAATTAGGGCTAAATTGAAATCAAGTGTGTGATTCGGATTGTGTAAATCAAAGTCTAAATGAATGCGTAATTAATATCAACAAATCATACATAGTTTGGTTGGAACGTGACATTATTGTAACCCTTTGCTATTCTTAGTTATGAACAATGTCACAGATTCACAATTTTAATCTTAATACATATGACTTTTTAGGTAATTCGATCCATTTTATTTTGATGTGAAAAGGGGGTTCAAAACTTCAAATACCACACAGTACAAACCACAAAGCATATTGTTACTTTTAGAAGAATACTACAAGAGGGGGGTGAATTGTCGTATAGAGGAATTAGACAACTTTTTGAGGAAATATAAAAGCTAAGCTAAAGGAACTCAAAGTTACACAGAGAGATTTTAGCGTGGAAAACTTCTTGGCCCTAACAAGAAGAAAAACCACGACCACTTGGAATTTTAGGAAAGATTCTTTACTAGAATAGGGCAATCAACATATTACAAGCTAAAGATTCCATCTCCAAGTTCTTCAACGAACTTGGAGTTCCCAGCAATAAGTCCCTCGACATACTGCTTTTCTCTCTCTTTCTCTTATCACTTCTTTTGAGTTCACTCAAACTTTTAAACAAGAAATCAGATAAAGATATTTTTTCCGAAAATAAAAGATATTCTTTTAAACAAGAAATCAGAAAAAGATATATTCTTTTAAACAAGAAATCAGAAAAAGATATATTCTTTTAAACAAGAAATCAGAAAAAGATATTTTTCATAACTAAGTTTCCTATAAATAAGCAACTTTTAAATTCTATCTTTTAATTAAATGTTTTGTGCATTCTACTAAAGTATCAAACTTCAAATAACTTTTACTTACATAAAACCTAAAATAAAAAATATTTTAGACTTTATTAATTCTCTTTAGAAGTCTCTGGTTCGAGTCTTCATTCTCCGGCTTATGTTCCTGCAAAGGAACACTGCAAACCGTCTTTGCTTTTTTAGCTCCAGTTCCTTTGTTTCGAATAACTCTGTAACTTGAACTTAGGCTACACAATCAAGGAAAACATTAGTCCCAAATGTAAGTTTGACTTCTGTTATCATCAAAACATCAAAGGCAACACATATCTCTTATCCCTATAAACAATATTTTCTCTCCAAAAAAAAAAAAAAAAAACGAGAAAAAACGCATCATTTGAAATTCTCAATCTTGTCCTCATCTCTTATCCCTCTTAACAAACGCTCCGTTAACTTTACACAAATTCTTAGCTACACCCTTGTGTAGCTAAGCTAGATGCACCAACTGCAAATTTATGAACATATAGTACTTCAAAATAAACATACATTTTTTTTTCCCTTTCTTATATCTTAACTCTCTATCTTCTTTTTTCTTACCTCTATTGATTTTCTCTCTCCTCAGTTTTTTTTTTTTTTTTTTTTTTCCAATTTTTGAAACTTTCTGTTCTTTATAATCTCTATAATAATAAACATGTAAATACCTCAATTTCCTTCAATCATTATTCTTCGTTGTCCTTCTATTTCGAGCATTCTCCAATTCATCTCCATTGTTGCATTTGCCATCTTTATCATCTTCGTTGCAACCGTGAATTGTGAGGTAATAATTTTGAGTTTTTTTTTTTTAATAAATATGTGAATGTTATAAAATTGTTGATTTCTATCAATTTTGCATTTGTGATTCCTAATCTATTATATTATAAATCGATAATTATATTTATCTATGATGAATCAAGATAAGATTTGAGGGGATATTTAAAATTTTAGAGTAAAAATAATTACCATCGAAGTTGTGTATAATTTTCGTAAAAAAATGAACATGTAGTACTTTAAAAATGAACACGTATTAGTACAGGAAAATTGAACATATTTTAACGACTTATTTTACTATGTATCTTTATTTTTCGTTAATAATTATATATACAGAATTTGAACCTATATGAATCTATGAAAATCATGTTCATTTTTAATATACTAAATGTTCATAACTTTTTTTGATGTGTTCGTTTTTATAAATTTTCATTTTTTTTTATGAAATGTTCATTTTATTAGATATGATTCAATTATTCTATGATTGTATGATAAATATTCATTTTTAATATACCAAATGTTTTTTTTTTTTTTTACGTGTTCTTAATATTTTTTTTTTTTGTGTTTTTTTTTACTTAATGTTCATTTTTAAGGTCGTGGTCTAGCAATTTTATGATTATATGATAATCATGTTCATTTTTAATATACTATATTATCGTTTTTTTTAACATAATTAATCCTTTTTAATACTAAATTTTTATTTCTTTTACATGTTCATTTTTTACTACTAAATGTTCGTTTTTTATTACTAAATGTTTATTTTTTTACGTGTTCATATACTACATGTTCATTTTATAGGCCGTGGTGCATCTATCTTAGTTGCACCAGGGTGTAGCTAAGACCTATTGGTTTGGTAAAAAAATTCTAATCTAACCTCAAGCGACAATTTGGTTAAAAAAAAAAAATCTCAGGCGACAATCAAGCCTAAAAATACAAATTTGCAACAAACTACTTGCGATTGTTATCGTTTTCGTGGTTTTTTTGAAAAAAAATAAATAAATATTTTTTCACCTAAAATTTCCCACCCTTTATTAGGAAATAAAAATTTGAAGAAAAAAAAAAGGTTTAAATACTAATTTTCACTTAATTTTCCTACCCATTATGAACAATTTTTTTTAAAAAAGGGTTGAAAATTAATTTCTGTAATTCAAAATTTAGCAAAATAAAAAGGAAATGACATAATAATTTTTTAAATGAAAAAAATAAATAATAATAAAAATAAATAAATTAATTAGGACTTTTGAAGAGTTTGTTGATTTTTTGGTCTAAATGTTGCCTGAGTTTATTTTTTTTACCAAATTGTCGCATAATTTTAACTTTTTTTACCAAATTGTTGTCGGAGTAATTATTATTTTTTTTATTATCAAATTAGTGTAAAGGGTTTTTTTTTTTTTTTACCAATTTAATCAATTGACTCTTTTGGGTGTGAGGTTACCCTGACATCACACGTAAATATAAAACCTACCAATAATGCCACCATTGTTTGTTTCGAGAATGGACTCCCATACTTTTCATTCCCTTGCATCACTTTGTGACAATTAAAAAAATTTCTTCATTAACCACACATATTCCTATTTGCTATCATATCGCACAGCTCCTAAAAGCTGACCACTTCTTTTTTATTGTAGAAGAATGATTAGCCATCCCTTAGTCCTACATTTTATGCATTATATATTTTGAGTAGGTGAATGAACTTGGCATATTTCCCAGTGATTATACATCAGTATTAGTGTACATTTATTTTATTAAAAAAGTTAATTATCACATCATTTTGACGATGTTCTTTATTAATTATGGGTGTTGCATAGCCTAAATAGTTTGCTTACTCCAATTGTCTCAAATTGAAAAATAAGATGGAGGAAGTGACCTACATCAAAATATAAGACTGATAACCTGAAAAGGACTTGAAGAGTTGTTCAGTGAGAGAGTATTAATTAAGCGAATACTTCTTTATTCATATAATTGTTTAAAAGGTGAAGAAATAATGTATAAGACTATTGGACTGCTCCACGTATAAAAACAAAATAAAATTTGAAGGCTTGTAACCCTCATGTATTGTTAGACTTTTATTCCAATGAGTGTTTATTATGCTTGCCCCTATGACATACTCAAATTACATTATTATATATACCCCCAACTTCCTCTACTTTCACACAAACATAACTACGCTTCCTCAAATTTGCAACAAATTCCTAAAACACACCCTATCTAATTTGGTGTCTTGCTTGGTGTGTCAAATTAAATTTAACAATATTTGAGCATGGAGTACACCAAAGCTAGTAACGTTGTACCCTCTACAATGAAAGCTTGGGTATATGAAGAGTATGGATCACCAACAAATGTACTTAAGCTAAAATCCGACGTACCGGTTCCTGAAATCGAGGACGATCAAGTACTTATCAAGGTTGAAGCTGCTTCTTTGAACCCAATTGATTACAAAAGGATGTTGGGTTTCTTAAAGGCCACTGACTCTTCTCCTCCGGTAACCACGCACCATTTAAATTTCTATTGCTCCTAAAATTTTATTGTTCATTTGATCTTTTTATGTTACATTTTATGTCTTTAAGTTGAACAGTTAATCGACCCTTGTACAAATCGTACCTTAATTATTTGTCGCGTGCTAACTAGCAGTAAGTTGTAACATGACATAAATAAATGGTACGAACAAAAATAGGTTCCTACCAGATATAAATCGTGTATTCCTTGTCAACAATTAGCAAGCTAAAGATCGTTGCAATATTGTTTACAGACGATTCCAGGCTATGATGTTGCTGGTAAAGTGGTTAAGGTAGGAAAGGATGTGAAAAAATTTAATGTTGGAGACGAAGTTTATGGAGATATCAATGAGAAAGCAATTGAACTACCAAAAAGCTCTGGCTCCTTGGCAGAGTACACAGCTGTTGAAGAGAAGCTTTTGGCTCTAAAACCCGAAAAGTTGAGCTTTGTTGAAGCTGCAAGCATACCCCTTGCTATTGAGACTGCTCACGAAGGTCTCGAACGAGCAGGCTTTGCTCCTGGCCAAAGCATCCTCGTTCTTGGTGGTGCTGGTGGAGTTGGAACTTTTGTTATTCAGGTAAGTTTTTTTCACCTCTTTGCCTTAAAACATATTCTTAAAATGAACTTTTTCCAATAGTGGTAAGCCTGTTAGCACACATCATTTGCCTTTGTTAAAGAAGGCCTTAAACTCCCAAGTTTAATCAATAATAATTCATCTTTGATCTGTAAATTAAATCAAATTGAATCAGTTAGCATAAATTTTTGTAGGATTCAATAACAACCGGGTAAAGAGAACATGATCGTATAGTAGTATTACATGCTTAACATTTGAGTATCTTTCTTTTCTATTTTAGCTAGCAAAGCATGTATTTGGTGCGTCCAAAATTGCAGCAACTTCCAGTACAACAAAACTAGAACTATTAAAGAGTTTGGGTGCTGATTTAGCCCTAGACTATACCAAGGAAAACGTCGAAGATCTCCCTGAGAAGTTTGATGTTGTATTCGATACTGTTGGTACGACACTGAAACCATTCACATACCACTATTTGTCACAAATTACTTCAAAAACCATGTACTAATCCAATCCTTTTTTGTTCCATGAATTAATAATGACGATAACACAGGGCAATGTGAAATCGCGATAAAAGCAGTTCAAGAAGGTGGCAAAGTGGCATCAATAATTGGCAATGTAACTCCACCAGCATTCATATTCATACTCACTTCTACTGGTTCTGTACTTGAGAAGTTGAAACCGTACTTGGAAGATGGAAGGGTGAAACCGGTGATTGACCCGAAAAGTCCATTCCCATTTCCTCAGACTGTTGAAGCCTTTTCTTATCTCCAAACTAACAGAGCTACTGGCAAAGTTGTGATTCATCCAATCCCATGAAAATACTCCATCATTATTAGTGATAATAAAGCGCGAAAAGTAGAATTTTGCTTTGTTTACTTTTATTGTTTTTAGTGTTGGTTTTTTGTACTGCATATTTGAAATGACATTGTTTGTCTTCTGTGTATGATTTGTGTTGTAAGACTTGTAACACTCTCCCCCATTAAGACCATGTTCAGTGTGTTCACTATAATAATACAGTACTGTTTCAAATACAAAAGAAGTTGTTTATACATCCATAGTCTAATACTCGTACTACATACTCCCCGTAACATGTTTGTTCACTGCTTCACACGTCAATTTTCTAAGAACAACCCGAAATTGTATATGTGAACTAAACAAACGAGGTACAAATGTACAATCCATTCCTAATTTCCTAGGCTTCCAAAATCATTTATGTGCATTAGTGAATAACACTTTAATTGCTTACTCTCTACTACATCATCCAAAGTTGTCACATTATACAAATGTATCAATCGTTTCGTCACACCCTGTACTAAAAACCATATTACAGATTGCTACATTTGCAATCTAAACTAATTAGATCTGTGGCACCATATTAATAATCTATCTCGTGGCTAATCTACCCATTAATCGCACATAAATATACATCAATCTAGCCCACTCACTAGCCAAAATTACTCAATCATATTCAAATCAAAATTGCATATAATTAAACTTTAATCTTAAAATGCTGAATATAAAAGGAATTATTATTTCATAAGAAACTGGAAACATCAACATCACATCCCCAGATTTCAGATCACTTACTCAGTAACACTACTAGTACTATTTACATCATCATCATCATTATCATATCATCATCATTATCATTATCATAAAACAACAAAATAAAAATCTAAGATGATGAACTCTGATGATCAGATAAAATCAACGGCTAAGATCAGTTTCCTCAACAGGATCTTCAAAGTTAGGATCTTTAGCATCAACAACAGTAGGAGCAACCTGATGATCATCAACCAAAAGCCCATCACCGGCCCAAGTAAACTTACCACCATGACCACCTTTCTTGGGCAGCCCATTAACACCGGAGCCTGATTTCCGATCTTTGTTTTCATGGGCTTGGGCCAACTTCGTATGGGCCTTCATACCTTTTCCTGACTGCTTCATCTTCTCTTGATTTTTCTCTCTCTAAAATGGTGCAATGGGTTTTGTTATGGAGGTTGGATATGATAAAGAGGGGTTTATATATAAAGGGGTTTTTGGGGTTTCAGTTTTTTTTTTTTTTTTTTGGGTTTATTTTTAATAAAAAGGACAGATCATGTGACTTGGGGCCAAACGGATGACAACGCCAATGGGTAGGATTAATTAAGCAAGAAACGGATTGATTATGTGTTCTAAATCTGATTATTCATTAAACATTAATTAATTTGAGGGGGGGGGGGGGGGGGGAAATTAGGACTTTAAATGAATGAGTTTTTTTTTTTTTTTTTTTTTTTTTTTTTTTTTTTTTTTTTTTATGTTGCACTCTTGAGTTTTATAGATTGCCATTATGAAATTTATCAATGATATCACTTATAATGATGCAAAGTATAGACTCAAGGCACATCACGACCTACAGGCAACACCGGCGCATTTTTTAGGGCTTTCGGGTATGCCTAGTAATCCATATTAGATTGTTTTAAGTTTATGAAATACCAATAGTGTAAAGGAAAAATTAACATAAATAATCCCAACTATTAACCACCTTCTCATTTTAATCTCAACAACACTTTAACTCGAGATAATCCTAACTATTAACTTATCCTTCTCACATTAGTCTCCATGTTTGTAGCCTATTCAATCGGTTAAACATGATATGTCGCTTTAAGATTGTTTTTTTTTTTTTTTTTTTTTTTTTTTTTTTTTTTTTTTTTTTAACTTCTTCCCTAACCTCCCTCCCCCCTTCCCTATATTCCTGTCCTCCACAGTCCATATTCTGTCCCAACAAAACTATTCATTTTTTTTATCCCCTCAAAAAATTGAAAAAAAAATTAAGAAAAAAGTTTCAATTTTGGTAGAACAAATCTACAATTTTGGAATTAAATTAAAATTCAGCAAACTTTCAAATTTGGAGAAGGATAGGATAAATAGGAGATTAAGTTGCATAAGAAATCACATTGCAGACTTCGTTGCTTTTGATCTTCAATAAGTTACATGGAATCATGGAAATTGAAATATTATTGTTTTGTTAGTAGTTGTGCAATAAAGCAAATGTTTCCCTTTGACTTTAGAAATGAACATCCAAGAGACCAAAGCAATTAGATATGAAGTTTGGAGTAGTATGCAAGAGAAGGTGAATGGGTGGGCTGCCGTTGGGATGGTATGGCAGATTGGCAGTCAAAGGTTATGGAAATGGTGGAGGGAGAAAGAAAGGGTGAAATATATATATATATATATATATATATATATATATATATATATATATATATATATATATATATAATCGGTATCACAGGTAACAAGTAAAAGAGACTATTTTGAGAAGAAGCACCCAATAGTTGGGATTATTCTAGGTTAGATAATAGTTGAGATTAAATTGAGAAGGACATAAATAGTTTGGATTATTCATGTTAATTTTTCCTAGTGTAAATGTAGATAGTATATAACTATGTATAAGAGACGATAATAGTACTTTGTGTATCGAATATTCGAAATTAGGGTCGTTTGGTTTTTTAAATTGAAATGGATTGATATGGAATTTCTAGTATAGGAGAGTTTGTTATATATACCCGGGTGCACCGTACACCCATGAGTATTTTGTTTTCATTTTGATGATTGTTTTTCATTTAATTATCAAATGAAGAGCAAAAACTAACCTTGGATTAGTTGGGTGTACGGTGAACCCAGGTGTATAAAACAAATTCTACTAGTATAGGAGGTATGAATTTAAATGCTCATACTAATTTAAATTTATTTGGTTATTGTTATTTATTACGAAGTAGTTTAGAATGTTTTTTAACAATCATTTTAAAAAAATAGAATGGATTCTAACAATCATTTAAAAAAAATAAAAAAAAATAGAATGGCTTCTACTGATAAGTCGTGTTTTGTGTATATTATTTGGTTGGTTTTTAGTTAGTTTTGTTAGTTTTGTTGAGTATTTGAGTCCGTTTTGGCGTATTTTGCTCTAGTTTGGATAATCCGATGCTTTTATGGGTAGTTTTGTTGTTTTTGATGAATTTCAGGAATAATGGAGCTAATTTGGATGAATTATAGATCCACGAAGTAAGTCAAAGCCCATGGAGTTTGGAGATTGAAGAAAAGTCAAGAAAATGGCATTTTAGAGGTAGGCACGGTCGTGCCTCCCCACTAGGCACGTCCGTGCCTCTGTGCCAGAAGCTGCGCCAAAGGAAGACCCTAGGCACGTCCGTGCCTAGCAGAAGAGGCACGTCCGTGCCTAGGTAAAGAAGCAGGCACATCCGTGCCCAGCATCAGGCACGTCCGTGCCTGGAAGACAGAAACTGCAGCAATTTTGCTACGTATAGAGGCACGTCCGTGCCTATGGAGAGGCACGTCCGTGCCTCCTGGGATTCTTGTGCGCCAAGGCTTAGCCGTTTTTCTTATCTTTTTAGGCTCATATAAATAATTTTTAGCCTTGTTTTTCTTGATTATTCATTAAGCCTTATATTATTTTTATTCTCTCATTAAGAACTAGTTCTCCATCTATTTTTCTAAGTTTTGTAATTCAAGATTCAAGATTCAAGGTTTCTACCTTCAATTTTATTCAAGATTTGGTATTTATTTTTCATCCTTTGTTATTTAATTATGTTTTCATTATTTATTATTGTTTTTGTTTCTTTAATCATGTGTGAGTAGATTCCTTAATTCAAGATCTAGTGTAGCCCTATTATTATTGATGCATGAATTAAATCTTTAAATTCTTTAATAACTTTAACAATTGAATTGCTAAATTGATTGTGATTATGCCAATGCTAGGTTAGACGTAACTATAGTATTGCGATTATTCCATTGTTTTTATCACAGCGAGAGTTGGGTATAAACGGATTTGAGTAAATCAATTTAGGGTTTGATTCATAACACGAGAGTAGTTGGGTTTGATAATTGGGAAGTGAGAGTAATGTGTTTAATGTCTTTAATATGCATGATACCATGAGAATAAGATTGATTGTATGTTAGGGAAGCCATTGATACTCGAGAGAGATCCTTGGTAATTATTAGGGTTTACTTTTCCCCGTTCAATTGAATTCGTATGTTAAGGGTAGAATTACAATTGCATCAATAATAGTTGTGGTGAAACTAGATCTTGGATGTTTTAAGTACTTGATTTAATCATCTTATTTAGTTTATTTTCGAATTCTTCTCATACTTAGTTCCGTAGATAATTGATTATAATTGATCCTTGCTTAGTAGAAATTCGAGTCTATTTAATTATTTTTGAACCTTAGTCTCTTGGGATCCGACCCTTACTTGCCAGTCTACATTAGTATTGGTCTGTTAGGTTATTTTTGATAGGTACGCGACACGCCTACCAAATTTTGGCGTCGTTGCCGGGGACTAACGGTTTCATTAGATTATTTGTGATTCATTTTTGCTAGGCTTATTTCGTTGCTTCGGCTATTTTCTCTTGTGTTTTTGATACTCTTTCTGTAGTTTTCTTGTTGCATGCCCACACGAAGCTCAGGTTCGGAAGATCTAGTACCTTTTGATTCTGAAATCGAAGCAACCGCAAGAAGACGAGCAGGTAGAAGAAGAAGGAGAAATCAAACCAATAGAAACATGACGGACGCCACGAAATCCCTTTTGGAGTACGGTATTCCTGATACGACTACCGGACTTCTTTCTAGCATTGTCAGGCCACCTATAACGGCTCAGCACTTCGAGCTTAAGCCACAATTCATTCAATTTATCTCCAATGATTCATTCATAGGCTTACCGCATGATTGTCCGGTAAGTCATATTGATAGTTTTCTGGAGAAATGTGATACAATGAAAATGAATGGTGTAACAGATGATGCTATTAGACTACGCCTTTTCCCCTTCTCATTACGGGATAGGGCAAAGGAGTGGTTGAGAGATAAAGGCGCTGGCTCGTTCGATACGTGGGACAAGCTAGTGAAGGCCTTCTTAGTGAAGTTTTTGGGACACGAGGAGACTGCTAGGTTGAGGAATGAGCTATCCACTTTTAGACAGTCAGATGATGAGTCTCTCTATGAGGCTTGGAGAAGGTTTAAGAGGCTACAGAGACAATGCCCTCATCATGGCATTCCAGAGTGG